TGTGTAATTGTGTGATATTTTTTTATTTATCAAAATTTTAAATTATAAATACACAAAATTTGAATTTATAAATCACAAATACACGTAAATTTATTATTTATAAAAACTTTTATCAACAATTAATTAATGAGAAAAATCATTTATTGCAAAGAATACTGCTAAAAGTGAAAGGTAATTAACCTGCTTTTATCGCGACTATTTAGAGAAATGTTTTATTTCTTCTTTCTTACAATCAATCGGAAAATAATGAAAAATAATAATTACAAAATGACGAACATCATAATGACATAAATACGAACCGTTAATTTAATGATTTTTTTTTTTAGAAATATGATTATATTTTTCTTGTGATTTCTGTAAAGACATATGTATGACACCTACATGATGTGTGCATCACACATGCACGCATAGCAAGCTATTTACGTTGAACTTACTTTTACTCACGCATGAAAACGAATATACGTAAGAATTTCGTGCGATGCATGAGAAGAAAATGCGCTTTACAATTTAAATAAATAATAGATGTATATCAGTATCTTGTAAATAATCTTTTATTAAGAGAGTTTAGATTTCTCGACAAAAATATTCAAAAATGCTTAGTGTAAACGTAAATTATATCATATTAATGTATAAATTATAAATTCTGATCCTGAATTAAGATTCAATAAATAATTAGAAGCTCTAAATTTAAATACAGCTCAATTTCTATGACTATGGGTATGTTTTTAATCCACTTTCATTGAGTTTCATTTTTAATTTAATCTTCCTTAATCAATTTTTATAAGATTTATAAGAATTCGGCCGTATTATTTGGTTCTTTAAGTCTCCTAATTTTTCTCAAGTACACCTTTCACATAACTCACAATCAGACATTCGCATTAAACGATCTACCGAAGTATTCAGCTCGCTAATTAATTATGTGAATGCAACGCGCCATCATTAATTACTACACGTCCGAATGTTTTCCATCGCAATGACAGAGACATAAAGTTTCGGAAAGATACGAGCGTAACGAAATAATGCCACTGTGCGGTGGCTGCAGAGCACGTTATGCCTCGGCACGCACCACTGACCGCTTCTTTTTCGCGGACGAGTATAACGCGAAAAAGGAGATCGTACAAAGTCGTGACATCGTTCTTCTCGCTTCGTCGATGAAACATATTAAAATTTCGAAGAACGCTGTGATATGCGCACACGTTCAATAATTCGCACGCACATTTAATAATTTGGAACGATTAAAAATTGTTCGGAAAAATATTAGTCTGAGAAATTTTTCGACTTTCATCAGAGCGTCATTAGATGTTCGATCAAACAAATATTCCAGGCAACAAGTCATGTTATTTTAACATCAAATGATGTGCATTTGCTATATGGAATATCACAGTATCTCTCTAACTGCGACGTATAAATCTGCTACGTATAAATTTATACTTGCAGTGTAGTAAATCTCTTCGGCTTGAAATAATAATATTATTATTAGCAATTGACAAATGATTTTTTATAAGAAATAGCTTCTCGGAATGATAGATAATATTTGCTCTTCTCTCTGTTTCTTCATTTTTAGTTTAATTTTTTTTTAATTATATTTCTTTGTTTTTTGAAGAATTAAAGAACGTGTTCTCTTATCTCTTTTATTTTTTTTAATATTCTGGAAATTTTATTAATAACTTATCGAAAAAATTTGAGATATAAAAAACATAAAACTTAAGAAAGAGCAGAGCCAGAGTGTTTATTAGAAATCATCGACAATAAACAAATAAGTTGAATACTGTTGAAGTAAATCAAAGTTTATTCGCTCTAAAAATAACAAGGTAATCCTGTTAATGATGCCAGAGATTAATAAAACAAACAAATGTGTTAGTATAAGAAACGTTGTTAGCAAAAGTTGGTTAAAAAGGACGTATAAATATTTTCTATAGCACCAAAGAAGAATCACTTTATTTCAAGGAAACCATTTTATTTGAAGGTACAAAAGTCGGCTAGATAACACAATCCAACACGAATAGTCACTTAAACCATAAAAAAATATTTATTACAAGCAACTAACTTTTTTTTGTAAGAAACTCTTAACAATAAGTCAACAAAGATTCAAATTGACAATGCAATTTTTAATGGTCAGAGTTTATATTTTCAGACTATATTTTATCTATTATAATGTAAATATTACATAGTTTGTAGTAAAAACCATATGTAGTACCTTTTTAAGACTTTTTTAGAACCTTTGTAGAATCATTATTTTTAAAATCTTTGTAGTAAAGAACACATTATGCAAAGGTATTTTTGTAAAAGCATCTTTTGCAAAAAATTTTTAATAAAGTGTACTAAAACATATATATTTTATTATATTTTACGTTCATGTATGTACAACACTGAATGTGTAATAATATATAATACATATCTATGTAATAGTATTAAATATTCGTCTTGTTGAACATGTGAAACATATATATTTTATTATATTTTACGTTCATGTATGTACAACACTGAATGTGTAATAATATATAATACATATCTATGTAATAGTATTAAATATTCGTCTTGTTGAAATTTGAAGATCTGGAAAACATGAAGATGAAAAATCTATTAACCTTTTAATTCTTTATATGTATTTTGTGTCTTCTAGAAACAAATGTCACTTAAAAAAAATTATTTTTTTTATTTTTTTTTTATATTATCTTCTAAATTGCTCTCTTACATTATTCGATACATAAACATCTTTTTATTATTTATATTTGGCAATAATTTGGATAACATTTCGCAAGAATTTGGATAATTTGGCAAATTTAGCTCACACAATCTAAAATTTTATTTGTCAATCAAATACATATTTCATATATTTAAATTCTACATTTTTTACTTATCTTTTCCTGGAAGAGACACAAGGTTTGCTGAATAATTAAAAATTAATATTAAAAATTATTTAAATTAAAATATATACTTCATATATTTAAATTCTATATTTGTGATTTATCTTTTTCTGGAAAAAATAAGCTTTGCTAAAAAATTAATATTAAAAATTATCCAAATTACTGTCGTATTTTATGATATTTTATCATTGATGTTTAATAAATATTTATAATTCCTTTACATAACATGTATTATTTATTATTAAAATATATAATTTACATTATCGCTATAAATCAATATTATGTACACGTTGACAAGAATAAATTTTTACACCTGCGCATCTCAGGTAGTTGAGTCTATCCAAAGTAGGCAAATAAATAAAAAAAGAATACCGTAAAATCTTTGAGATTCTTTGTTTACGGAAGGAAGCGGATAAATGCAATATACAATAGGCCACAGTTCCGTTCTAACAGCTAACTCGCATATTAAGTTATTTGTCTGAGAAAACCCTATTTCTAGCCATACAAAATGTGGCACAAACAAAACTTTATGTAAGCGACAGGTAGATAGGTAGGTAAGTAGGAAAAATGAAGTTTGTTTCATAGAGCGTGTCTAATGGCACAATACGAACGAAGCCTGCAGGTTTGTTTGATTCGCCGTTTTTAAGAAGACTGTGCATTTGTCACACTTCTTTAGCGGTGAGGACCCACAACATCGTTTAATGTCAAAAATCAATCGAAGATGAAAGAATTCGCCTCGGAACACCATTGTTTTTCTCCTTCCTCTGTTTTTTTTCTCTAACATTCTATACGCCAGCCTAACCGGCTTAACTGGACGATTCTGCTGGAGAAGCTGAGGGAATTCTTTTCACTTTTACCGCAAAGAGCTGATAGAAAAGTGCGAATTATGCGTGCACCGTTTCTATACTCATGCTTGTAACTATGTACAAGAACTCCCGTTAATTTACGCACGCACTTTATATGTTTGGTTTATTTCATCTCTTGACAAAAAGGAGAAAGAATATAATTGTTAATTCCGTGATTTGACTTTAAAAACACAAGTTAAACATTAAGCTAACTTTTTAATGTAATTATATAATATTGAAATTCTTCCAGAAATTCTTGTAGAAAGAATATATTTTATATATTTGATGTATAATTCTCCTAAACATTTATAAAAAAATTATATTTTATATTTTATGCAATATAAATAAACCTAACGTTACAAACATTGATGTAAATTTATGTAATAACAATATAAAGTCTTGTATTGCATTATAATCATAACTCTTTTGATGATATTAAAAATATAAATTTAATTTAAAATGAAAGCATTAAACATTAGGTATTCTATTAAAATACTCGATACAAGATTAAATTTGAATTTACATCAACAGTGTCGTGTCAATATATTTTATTTTATATTATACATTTATTTGAAATTTTTCTAAAACTTACATTAAATAAATGATACAGAGTGATACAAAAACGTGGTATGTATTATACGAGTTTACATTTTGTGCCCATCGAGAAGTGTAGTTGCGGATCTTAATAACGATACAACGCTGCGTAATTCTGATTCCTTATAGCTTCTTTAGTTGTTTTGCTTTCTCTTTCGGAACCGGCATGCTCTAATTCGTTCGAAGCCGTCCATCCATCTATAGATAGTTCTTGCCATTGATTTGAAACTCTTTGATGCTTTTCTGAATCTTGACTTTTTCTATTTTTCAAATTAGAATTGAATCGAAATAGTAAGTGTAAATTACAAAATCAGAAGAAAAGTACAATAATACCCATTTTATTCCACAATGGATTTTATATCTTTACAAATAGTTTATAATATGTTATACTCTCCGCAAATAGAATTTTATATATACTTATAGATATAAAAAATAATTATATTATGATTAAAAATGTATAAAAAATAGTTATATTATATATTGTATATGTGTGAATCAATGGAAAAATATATTTCATATCAAGAATTCGATATAATTATCATAAAATTAACTTTTTACTAAATTTTCACTAAATTGTTCGTTTTGCTGCAATGAAAATTTTATTTATTGTACATTAATATAATTCTTCGAGATAAATATAAATAAATATAAAATTTATAAGCTTAAATATATAAAAATATAAATAATTGTTCTTTACGATTCATAATTTGTACGATTTTTGGAAATACAATATTAGCAATAATGGCACAATATTGGCATTATAAATTCTTTTCGAAACGTTTACGAATAATATCTTTTAATTTCTTTAAGCAAGAATGGCTCCGTTATTTCATTTATTTCCACAAATCTCTTATTGGCTCGACTAAAATAATAAATATCCCCGGTATAAATATCGAACCACAACGCATGGATGTGCAAATCGTGTCTCTCTAAACGTTTCTTCAAGAATCCGTACGATGCGATATTTTGAAGTTGTTGTAACGTATTGATCTGCAACAAGATAAATTCAGAATAACAAAGTTAATATATATATATGAAAATTATCTTCGCGCGTAAACATCTATTTTTCGCGATCACTAACTTGCGACAACTTGTCCTCGATAGCGAACTTATCTTCCGGATCGATGTAAGCAACAAATTTTCGCAGTGGTGTCTCAGCCTGAAAAATAATCGGCTCGTGGAAACCGGCGACTTCGAGATGCTGAAATTTGGTCAAACTGCTGCTGGCATGTGCACACAACCACGCTCTTAGCGGAGATATTCTTCTATTCGTCTACAAGTTTCGGGTGGCATTACGATTTTGCGCGTAAAAACACGAAGGATATATTTCGCGTTTTATTATTAAAAGCGTAATTATTTTATATGGGAAATACATATAGTTCAGGGCTAATTATCTCAGAAATATATTGGTTTCAAGGAAAAATGTTTTCAATAAAAGATGTAGGGCTTAAAAAATGTATTAGCTGATAATTACTTGAATTTTCCATAAACTTGAAAAGTCCTCCTCTCTCAAGATCAATATAAAAATCTTAAACGCAATCCACCATTTCTTGTTAGATATTCTTGTAGCTTATTTCGAGAGCTTCTCAAAACATGATATAATATTTCTTTCATTAAATACTTCTCGAATTATAAGATTTGATAGTACAGCATTAACATTATCAAAAATGTATCGCATAGAGGTTGTATAGTCGGATTCGCACCTCTGTTATGTGTTTGTTCACATGCATACAGACATAAATACAAATGAAATGTAAATTTGACCGTGCAACCTCCACGTGATACATCATGAATAATATTAATGGCGACGATAGTCTAACTTTCAAGTCTTGTAATTCGAAAAATACTTGATGAAAAAATACCTTATTATAGTGTTTTGAAAAGCTCTTAAGATAAACTATAAAAATATTCAAAAAAAATGGTGAGTTCCATTAAAAATTTTTATAATAATCTTGATGTGGCTTTTCAAGATCATCAAAAATTCAATTGTTACCAGCTAATCAATTTTTTAAACTCTATAACTTTTATTCGAAACGTTTTTCCATTAAACCATATATTTTCTAAGATAATTGACCGGAACTTTTGCTCCACACTGTACATGTGTGTGTGTATATATATGTATATAGGGCTGCAAAAAACGCACTTGTGATGCAAATTCCTCATCCCGCAAAGCGTAGAGCAAATTCATCGCCTTACAATCGCTGTGACCGCAAACGATAACGTGCCTTATGTCGTTTACCACGCAACCAAGTTCCAGCGCCGCCGATTCGCACATAGTAAATTCGTCCCCAAAATGTTGTGAGTGTGGAACAACATTACCGGGATTTCGGACTGAAAAGGAAAACTCTGTTAGACGTCTGACTTTTTGTTCTCGGCTCTCTACGCTGCCCCCCTGGATGAAATTCAGAAGCCACGCGTATCAATGACTCACAAATTTTTCAGATATTTTTACAGATATATATATATATATATATATATATATTATATATATTGTATTGTATTAAATTGTATTAAAAGAGAATAGCATTTTACTTTTTGTTTAATTTATATATATAAAATAGCGAAAAATAATACGTATATAAAAAGCAAAAGATTAATTTGTACATATATTTAATTTATATATACAAAATAATTTATTATACTATATCTTTATAAAGATATATACATAAGATTCCCATAAATTTTTCCATTCAAATAAAATATTTGAATAAATAAAAATACATTTTATATAAAATTTGAATAAATAAAAATATAAAATTTTATATAAAATTTGAATAAATAAAAATACATTTTATATATAATAAATTTTATATAAAATACATTTTATACATAATTAAAATAATATTGTATCGAGTATTGTATACATCTCCTTGAAGAAACTTTTGTCAAGAAATATTGCATTGAAGGAAAAAATACACTATTCTTGAATCGAAAGAGATAAAAAATAAACCAAGCTATAACACTCATAAGCGATCGCGATAATGCTATAATAGATTGTCGTACCGACAAACATGTCCCCAACGTTCGTTTCCGTAAATCTAGTTGGAATCATCCGGGAGTCCATGCAGGTAAAGAACACTGCTTTCGGCTAGAGATAAGAGCAACAATATACATCAGGTTACGATCTTGCTGATGTTGCAATTATAACTGTAGCTTGGAATTAGAAGAGGGAAAAATCTTTCGTCATTTCGCTTTTCTTGACTTTTATCGTTAGATGTTTTAAAATATTCGAAACGAATTTTTTACACAGTGCTGCGATGTAACATTTCTTTTTATATATTTTTTTTATTATACTATTTTTCCTTGAATAAAATTTTTTATATTCTCGAAAGAGAAAGAGAGAGAAAGAGAGAGAGAGAGAGAGAGAGAGAGAGAGAGAGAGCACAATAAAGTCATGTAATAAATTGAACATTGTATATACACTAGATTATACAGCGTGTGTCAAAAGTTCCGGGACGGCTGGATAATTTGAAAAATACGCATCACAGAGGAAAATGACCTAGACAAAAGTTGTAGGATTTTTCCCGGGCAATCCGACGGTGACCTTAGATTTGACCTTGGATAGTCATTTGAAGGTCACATAAAGATTACCTTCAATTTCTTAAATGGAACCCCCTATTTTTCATTGCATATTCTTGTAGCTTATCTCGAGAGCTTTCCAAAACACTATAATTAAGTACCTTTTTATTAAGTACTTTTTGAGTTATAAAGCTTGAAATAATTTCTTAATTTTACATAAACCATAAAATATCTAGTAAACCATTCATTTTTCGATTATCTTACCTTCATACTTTTATGTACAAAATAATGAGAGGAATCAATTGGTGTAAAGAAAACACATAGTTGTTTCTAAGAAAAAATATGTAATTTGCAATTAACAATTCCATATTTTTTCTTAAAAACAACTGTATGTTTTCTTTACACCAATTGATTCCTCTCATTATTTTGTACATAAAAGTATGAAGGTAAGATAATCGAAAAATGAATGGTTTACTAGATATTTTATGGTTTATGTAAAATTAAGAAATTATTTCAAGCCTTATAACTCAAAAAGTACTTAATAAAAAGGTACTTAATTATAGTGTTTTGGAAAGCTCTCGAGATAAGCTACAAGAATATGCAATGAAAAATAGGGAGTTCCACTTAAGAAATTGAAGGTAATCTTTATGTGACCTTCAAATGACTATCCAAGGTCAAATCTAAGGTCACCGTCGGATTGCCCGGGAAAAATCCTACAACTTTTGTCTAGGTCATTTTCCTCTGTGATGCGTATTTTTCAAATTATCCAGCCGTCCCGGAACTTTTGACACACGCTGTATATTTTAAGAGTATATATTTTAGACACTAAAGGTCTTCAAGTAAAAATCCGGATATTTATTCATTGACTTTATTTTATATAAAATTTGAATAAATAAAAATATAAAATTTTATATAAAATTTGAATAAATAAAAATACATTTTATATATAATAAATTTTATATAAAATACATTTTATATATAATTAAAATAATATTGTATCGAGTATTGTATACATGTCCTTAAAGAAACTTTGTCTCAAGAAATATTGCATTAAAGAAAAAAATTTATTTTAGCCAAAAATAGCGGAATAAATCTACAAAGTAATAAAAATGACTACATGTAATCAATCTGCAAAAGCACTGTTTTATATAGAGTGCATTTTTAATTATCCAGTTACCTTTTTTTTTATCAAAATAAAATAGTCCATAATATCCAAATTTTTATTCAAGGATCTTTTTACATCAATAACACATTCATATTTAAATAGTTTATAAAATATGATTTCTCTCGAAGATATTTCATTCATGTTGTACATATGATTTAAATATAACGATATAATTGGAATATTTTATAATGTAAAAAAATCAATAAAAATTCAACAAACTAAATTTTACACCGATAAAAATTAAAATAAATTATATTATTATGTTATATAAATGTTATATTACACGTATTACATTAAAAAAAATAGTACATCTTATTAACATTTTATGTGATATAATTTTTTTGCATTCTGATATTTAATTTACAATAATTTACATGAAAATATATATATCATTTAAATATTATGTAAACAACAGTAAACAATTTTTATAAATATAATTTCGAAATCTGTGACACAATTAATCCTCATCGAAATGTTCCATCGTGCATTACCATTGATTGATAAGACAGATATTCTACTGTATGTGTGTAAAAATTTCAAATAGTATCGACAGAGTATCGATAAAAACAGAACCCACTATAATCATCTTCGTCTATCAAGTAATATCGTCGATAAGATATTTTAAATGCCACGTATACATAATTTACATAAATAAATCGTGCGCTCGATAGAAATTTAACATTACGAGAAATAACAATAGAGAATTAGATGTTTTAATTATACATTTAATGAAGAGAAGGAAAATGAAGAAGCAATTGCTTTACATTCTTATTCTTATTTTTTTTACATAGCTTCTTTCCAGAGCATTTTATTTGACGGAGAGACATCTGAACGCATATTTTGGTCTCTCAATTATATCAATATTACTTATACGCAGTCTATTTATGTAAATAAATCTATATACGTGAAACATGACACATTCACGACATTAATATATAATACCGTTAAATATGAACATTCTATCAGTTATTGGCCAATCGCTGTTCAAGGTCATAATTTCGGATCACTTTGCATTATAAAAAAAAAATATTATCCGATTGTATCTAATTAATTAAATTTATAGATTGAATTTATGTTAAATAATTAATTTGTAATTTTATTTTAGGTAAATTAGCCTGTTGAAAATTATATCCACTTAAAAATTATATCAACAAACGTGCATAGCACGTGGATCCCGTTGCTAGTGATATTGTAACACGAATACTTATGCGATGAAAAATCATACGACATATTTTTTTCTTTGATATCATGCGAGCGTACCTCGGGATGATCTCGGACTCGTTGAAATTGTTTCACCATTCCCTCCCGATGACACTTCCTGTACTTCATGATTCCTTTAAGTATTCTGTCCATCGTAGCATTCAAGCAACTAACTATGAAATAACTGTTAAAAACTTATTTTCTTGAATGAGCAATGATAGTTCACAATTCCGCCATTTCTTAACGCGACGGCGGGAAATTTAATTTCTCTTTGATTCAAACCGATTCAGGCTTAAAAATGTTTTTTTTTAAAATCACATCTTTAATTTTGAATATTTCAAGGATTAAAAATTCCTTCGAATGTATGAGTGCTTTTACAATAAATCTAAATCAAACTGTGGATGGTGATAAGAAAAGCAAAAGCTAAATACATTTCTTATATTAAATATTATTTTTAATTCATATCAAAAATATCAATTCCTCAATCTATTAGAAAACAAATATATAAATAATGTATATGAAAAAAATATATAAATATATAATATAAATATAAAATATATAAATAATGTATATGAAAAAAAGTTTGCGATTTTTATTTGCACATTTAAAAAATACACTTTAATCTATGAACTCTCGTACACAAATCTTTTACTTATGATGTAAATATACCATAGAATGTCTATCTTAAATTAGCATTTATCATTTATTAGCTTTATAATTATCATATGACACTTTAATACAAGCTGTACAGTTACTTAAAATTTTATATTTGAGAAAAAAAAACTCTCAATAGTAAAACTTATGAGTGTACATACATAGTTAAATGTAATCTTCATGAATTATCTACATGAAAAACTTTTACCATTGCGAGTCACTTTCGATACCTAAAATCCCAGATAAACACTCAGTCTTATATTGTTATATTGTGAGATGTATATTATATAGTGATATATGCAAATAGAAAGACATATGATTGCACTGATTCATTTATTACTAGCATTCATAGAATATTCTTGCAAGTCGATTTTGATCATCAACCTTTAAGTCAAAAATAAAAAATAAGAATAATACATAAAAAAATATTTAGAATAAGATTAGAAGGAATTACGCATGTATAAGTCCTATATCGATAAATTACAGAGACGTGTTATATTATACATATAATATAAATTCATTTTATATATTACAATCTAAAATATCAATAACCGTCAGCCTGTCTCAGACAAAATAAGTATATGCCTCTTTCTCAGATACATCAATTATATACTTATTTTGTCATAAACGCTCATGTTGAAAATCAAATATTATAAAGCGTATTTGAAATATATACCATGATCCGATATATGTGATCCGATTTCGTTAACAAGTGTATCAATCTCTCAATCGCATGCTTTATCTTAACGGCACACAATGCAAAATCTGACTTTCGTAAATTCAACAGTCATCAACAGTTTGGACCCGGGTGACGAGGCGCCTGGGTCGCGCCGACTTCTATCTGCTTAATGCCGAGCTCTGACTAGCGCGCTCCAATTTTTCGAAGTGTTTTCGCGCATTGCGTATGTTGATTAATGTTGCTGCAGATGCTGAAAACACGCACATGTTTTAACAATAGTTTTTAAAAATACAGCGAATAAATTTCAAATACTTACGTATAGTTGGATCAGACATGATGACCATCACGTATGTATTTGAGGTAAATATATCAATAAAAGCCGCGAAATTGCTGTTTCTAACTTCCATGCTTTGAAACTGCGCTGCTAATTTACTAAAAAATTAATAACAGAGTCTTTGAGTGATTCATTTCTTGTTCTTAATCTTCTATTAATATTTTCTCTTTTTTTAATTATACTATATTTACCTGCAACTCAATTTAAACTGTTTGATTATATTGGAAACTTTTTCAAAGCGATGAACATCTCTATGAAATTGTCGCTGACAATGGCTTATTACCAAAAAGGTTGCTCTCTCAAATAAAAGAACTTCATCCGCATCGATAATATTGGCAAACTGATTTAAACTTTGTTCGAGTTCTTTCACATTGGGAATCAACATATATACAATAGATGACCAAGCCCTAAAATAATTAGCATTGGTTTATCGGAATATCAGAATATTTGAAATACTGCATTTGTTTATAAAATTGTGTTTATAATATTTACCTGTATAATGTTTCATCCCATATACTAGTTCTAAAGCAAGTGCACTCCAGAGGCAAACTCAGTCTTTTTAAATCTTCCTCTCTCTCCCTGAATATATAATCACGTTGGTCCTCTTGTACAAGATCCATTTTGTGAACAAGGCAAAATATTTTTGCTTCTGGGCTATTCTGCAGTATCGCTTCTAGGCAGCTTTGATAATAGTGCATGTCTTTGTCCAATTCTCTTGATTCCACATCAAAGACATAAATTAATACCTCCACATTTCTGAATATGTTATCTCGCTGCGATGCAAAGTAATTTTCCATGAATGCCTCCTGACCACCACAATCCCATAGATTCAGTACCAAATTGCCGAGAAAACGAACGTGAGAATGTTCTACGTCAACTGTAATGAACAGTTTTATTTCAATAAATTCCAATAAATTTAATAAATAAATTAAATAGAAATTATAATTATAATTAATATTATATAATTAATATCCAGAAAGACTGACTTGTTGCTCCCAAACGATGGGTATCCCGAGCGATATAATTGGCGAAGATAATGCTACGCATGCTCGTCTTTCCAGAGCCACTTTTGCCCATCAGCAACACCTAAATAGAATACATAATTCTCATTTAAATAATATCATACGTGGCATGACTATATTTATATATTAATAAAAAAAAATTTTTTTAATCCATGCAGATCTTTTGTGTTTATATAATTAATATACCTTCTTCTTCATCTTGGAATGAATAACGAGTATCAATTATAATTTCTGCAAGAAAAATATCTTATCAGCTGTTCCCCTGAAAAAAAGAGTCGCACACAACAATCCACCCTGTTCACTCTGCGAAGTGCGAACTGCAACAATACGAGAACTCAACCCTCTATAAGATAAGCCATCAAGAGTGGGGGTGAATTTATGGCGTTTTCGAATGGTACGGATTAATCGCTCTGAAGTAGGTTACTAAACGTCATTGGCCAATCGCAGCCATTTCTCTAGAGAATAATAGTTACATTCTTCAGAGGAATAGCTGTGATTGGTCAATGACGTTTTAGTAACCTATCTCAAAGCGATTAACCCGCGATTAAAATAGATACAGATAAGTTTTTGTATTTTCATATAATTTATATTATTATATCAAGTATTGATGAAACAAATTGAAACATATTTTTCACAAATATTTCGGAATCTATAAGATTATTTATATTGATCGCCAAAAAAAACTGAATGTGATAAATTAATTTAAGTAAAAATTCGAAAACGTCAAAGCTGATATTTATTTCTCGCACGATCAATTTTTTTCAGCGTATTGAGTAGCTAGAAAAAAATAGAAGATATCTAGAGACTCGAGAATTTCCATCCTGCAGCCGATCAATATGTTTAAAAAAATTTATTGTACGATAAATATTAGCCTTTATACGCTTCATAGAAATCGGTCCTTAAAAATCGATATTATTTCACGCTACAGATCTATGTGTATTCGTGCCACAGATCGGGAGAGATCATGTCATGGTATTTAATTTTAATTTGACATAATAAATTATGACAAACAATTGGGCTCGAGCAAAAAATGTGAAGTGATATTTTTCGAACAATGTGAATAACTTCTGCAATTTTTATCGATATATGTTTATATATATTTTATATATATATATATATATAATTATATATATATATATATATATATATATATATATATATATATACACATATATATATATATCCTTTGTGGTCAGCTGAAAGCATGGATTCACCATGAATAATCTCTCTCTCTCTCTTTCTCTTTCTTTCTAATTTGGATTAAATCACCTGGCATAATTTTTTTACAGTGTGATTGGGGCCATTATGGCATCGACGATGTTGCACGTACGCTCACGTTTCGCGATTTCCAACAATTTTCCGGAATATTGGTTCCTCTTATGAGATTATTTGACGGAAACGTGAGATCTTCGTGCATAAATGCATTTAATCGAATGTGTTCTAAATGCTTCATAAAAGACGTAATGATTTTTTTTATACTCGCCCAGTGGCCTGTCATTAATATTTAAATCCCCGTTATCTCAGAATGGTTCTGAATCGTAACGACAAGAGAAAGAAGAAAGAAGGAGATCTGGTGGATCTTATGGAACCACTTTCAGGATCTCCAAAGAGGTAATCTTTGCATATGATCATTCCTAGTTGCAACTTAATACATAATAATATTTTATTTAGTTTGATTGAAGATAAGATGTATTTAAAAGATATATCGCTTATTTAAGCAATGTTAAATTCGTAATATTTGTTAATAATATTGTTTCACCCCAGGACCAAAGTTCACGCACAAAGAAAGTTTGCACAAGGTGCAAATACAGTGTTCAATACATCACCTACACCTGTCAAGGACAAGGAGAAAACTAAACCTGCCACGATTACAGAATTAATAACGCATAAACGCCCAAATACTGAGGACTTTCTAACGTTTTTATGCTTTAGAGGTTCATCATTTTATTATATTTAAAAATATATATCATAAATCTTTTATATTTATTAATTTTATTATATTTATCTCAATCTTTTATATTGAATCTATTATTCTTATTTTAATTCTCCTATTTTTTAGAGATTGATACATTGTAATACATTGTAAAAAATAGATACAGATAAGCTTTTGTATTTCCATATAATTTATATTATTATATCAAGTATTGATGAAACAAATTGAAACATATTTTTCATAAATATTTCGGAATCTATAAGATTATTTATATTGATCGTCAAAAAAACTGAATTAATGTGATAAATTATTTTTTGGTTATAGTTGCAATTATTCTAATGAAAATCAAAATATTCTTTTTTAATAATTTTTTTTCCAAATTTAGGAACATCCATTTTACCAGCTAGTTTAAATTTCTTTAATGCTGGTAACAAAAAAGAGAAACAAAGGCCTACATCAGCTCGTACTTCTACAGATAAAGTATCATCCTGTACCAGTACTTCTACAGAAGTCCAGAAACAAGACACAGGCCAGAAAAATGTGACAAAAGTTAAACCTGTTGTCCCAGACAAAAAAAAAGTGCCTACTACGATACATAAAAGCATTACCAAACTTAAAACAGCAACATCTACAGTTCAAGCGCTTAAAAAGAAATATCAAGAGCAGCGCCTTGCTAAACAAAGGATTAAGAATAAATTCAAAGCCACATGTGTTATGAGAACAAGATCATGTACAGAGAGATCTATGATGAAGGCTGGTATTCAATTAGCACCGAGAAAATTTTTACCTAGAATTGAAACAAAGAGACACGGCTTGAGAAGTGGTGTACTGCCAGATAAAAGCAACAAATCTTTATTGAAGACAAAAATCGTGTCGCCCAAACCAAAGAAGAAAGTTAATCCAAAATTGAAAAATAATGATGTATCGTATACAGATATGTCTGAGGAGGAGCATGATGAAAAAGATGATGAGGAAGAAGAGTTACCTGTGGAAAAATCGACTTCGCAGATAAAACGCAACATACAAAGAGGAAATATTCAGAAAAAGATTTGTACTAGAAGCAAGTCGGAAATGAGGAGAGTTACAAGATCATACAGTGGCATAATCTCCTCGCAAAATCCCTCTAGAAGGCCTACCAGAAAAACTAAAGAAGCAGCTGCTCTGTACATGGAAATTCTTGGTAGGAAATTAGTAAGCCCAGATCTAGAGAATGAAGATAACGTTTCGGTCGAGAGTTTCCCCGAATTGCCAAATGCTCGTAGGATAGCGCAAACGGAAAATGAGCTTAAAGCCAAAGTAAAACAGACTAATACGAAAACTGTTAGTAAAACTAAAGATTCTAAAGTTAATTCGTTCAACAGTAACAATAATAAGCGATTGGATAAGAGCAAAAATAATAAATTAATTCTAAAAAGCAAACGTCTAATGAGAGTGCAGAGATATTGCGAGGAAGATAGCGACGAAGAATCTGAAAGCTCAGTAGAGACGAATAATACAAGACCTATTACCAGACAGAGTCTTGGAAAACTTGACAAACCGATCGGTAGGAGTCTCAGATCGTCCTCCAAGAGTACAACTGTACAATCAGAAGTACAAACTAACACAAATAACAAACCGAAGATTCAAGTTCAAAGTTGTATGAAATCTTCTAAGGAAAAATTTGTGATGAAACGTAAACGTGATCAAAATTTATCTAAAACACCATCAGATAAAATTAGTGGATCAAAACAGAAAAATCTGAAAAATGATCAAAACAAAAATGCAGAATCCGAAGAAGAAACATTGGGAATGTTGCTTAATAAAATGAAAAAGAAAAAAGAGAATGATGATGAAGAAGAACGAATTTTAGATAATGTTAATAACGTGAAAAATGGCGAGACAATTGCCAACGATGCGCAAAACACGCATACGAAACCAGATTTGCCAAAAGTATCAGATGATGAGGAATCGTTTCGCGGATTTACCAAAAAGGCGATATCAAAAGTTTTGAATTCGTGTCATGCTAATGTTAATTTACTAAAATCAGAATCAAATGACAAACTAAACTTACTCAAAACGTTAGATGTTCCGGATCAAACAGTAAATCAGAACAAAACTTTGCAAGAAAATAATGAAGAAAAGACTTCATTGATCAAGACTGAGTCTTCAGCAAATATGTTAAACGACGAATGTAATATATCTATACAAGATCAAAAATCGATATTGGATCTATCCCTCAAGACACAAAACTCCTTATTACCATCAATTGAACAGGTACAGAGTAAAAAGTGTAATCACGAGAACGAGGTTTCTCCTAATCTCATAGATATGCCATTGTCGACTCTTCATACAAGAAAAGAACGGGTGAATATGTCGACAGAGCAAATAGAAAAGTGGCTGAACGAAAGCTCACTTGCCAAAGAAGAGAGCAAGCTAGAGATGGAGAATGTTGTTACCTTCAAATACGAGCCTGTGGAAAAATTGAAGGCAGATTCCTCGCATTTATCTATCTCGACAAAAATCCAGCATCTAGTACGTCCTGTTAATGTAACGCTTTCGAAGTTAACGGATAAAATGAGCTTGAAGGACCGTACTACAATCGTGCAGAGTAGAAATATAATGCAAGTAGCATCTAATGTACATAATGTCGAAGCGAAGCAGCAGAATATTGTGAATAAAAATAAGACTAATACCGAATTTGTGAAAGAAATTGTTAAAATTAAATGTGAAAAGACCAGCAAGGACACTAATCTCGTTGAGGACACTAGCGATACCGTGTCAAAGTCGGATCAAAACTCAACGGACGGCTCTATAGAGAAGAAATCGCCGGCGGAAAAGAAAATATTTCAACCGCGAAAATCCTTCATACCGAAGGTTAAACGTAAATTGGTCATTCCGAACGCGAATGCATTTTCACCGGAGAATGAGAGTAGCGTTTACGCGTTTGAAAGCGACACCGAGGTTCCCATTAGCACGCCCTTCAGGAGGAAGACTAAGGACACCGCGAAATTAACTGCTACAGGTACAGAGAGCAAAATTGCTGATAAATCAAATTTTGAATATCCCGAAACATTAATAGACATCAAGGAGGAACCGATCGAAATGATCGTGAAGAAAGAACAGGAGACGCAAGGCCCGATAAACGCAGCGAGCACGACCCTGAATAAGTTTGAGCTGCCTAAGAATTTCGCTGGCTTGACCAATGTCCAAGTGTTACCGCTCGATAAGCTCACAACAAGTTGGAGCAATGTAAATTGCAGTGCTTCTATAGCTGTCCAGGTAAACCTCGACGAGACTACGCAAGACCAGCAGAATGAGGCGAATCAGCAACGGAGTACCGAAATATCTACCCAGACCGAAACGAGCAACGAGAATGATGACGATAACGATGGACAGCTATTTTACATTCCATTGCAAGCTGTTACGAGAAGCGGCCCGAACTTGGTACAAGGACAACAGCTGATTCAAGGCGTTGCTGTTAAACTCGGCACGGAAGGACCGACCGGTCCTAATCAAAGAGTACTACTTCGGGCTAAATTGGTCACTAAGCCACCGTTGTCCGTAGCGCGTTGTCCACCGATAGGAACGGTACAGCCGACAACGCGCACACCACCCAATCCCACGGCTATCACAGTGGATCAACAGCAAGTTCCGTCGACCTCAACGACCACAACTGTTTCGACCGCGATAGCAAGTACGCCGGAGACCCAGCCGATTTCACCCGTGAAAAATGACATCTCGGTGCCAATCTTAAATCGTCCAAATGTCAGTACAAGCGCCAATAATTTGGAAAAAGCAAAGTCTCCGAAATTATCTAGAGAAAGGAAAACTTCTATAGATTCGACAAAAAGTGGCAAGAGGTATATTTAATATTACATTTTCAACATATACAGAGTGTTTCAGATCACCTGTACCACTCATTTAAAAACTAGAGAAGTGGTTATTTGAAAAAAGTAAAAACATTTTCTTTATAAATCGGATGTGCTCTATCGAATGGTGATATTTTCAACTTCTGGTTCCGGCCGGAAATAAGTGATTCAGACTGGAAGTGCATTTTTTAAAATGGAACCCTCTATTTTTTATTGCATATTCTTGTAGCTTACCTCGAGAGCTTTTCAAAACACTATAATAAATTATTTTTCCATGAAGTACTTTTCGAGTTATGAGGTTTGAAATCATTTCTTAATTTTACATAAACCATAAAATATCTTGTAAAATATTTATTTTTCGATTATCTTACCTTAATACTTTTATGTACAAAATAATGAGAGATCAATTGATATAAAGAAAACACATAGTTGTTTCTAAGAAAAAATATGTAATTTGTAATTAACAATTCCATATTTTTTCTTAAAAACAACTGTATGTTTTCTTTACACCAATTGATTCCTCTCATTATTTTGTGCATAAAAAGTATTAAGGTAAGATAAACAAAAAATGAATATTTTACAAAATATTTTATGGTTTATGTAAAATTAAGAAATGATTTCAAGCCTCATAACTGGAAAAGTACTTCATGGAAAAATAATTTATTATAGTGTTTTGGAAAGCTCTCGAGGTAAGCTACAAAAATATGTAATGAAAAATAGGGGGTTCCATTTAAAAAAACGCATTTTCGGTCTGAATCACCTATTTCTGGCAGGAACCAGAAGTTGAAAATATCACCATTCGATAGAGCGCACCCGATTATAAAGAAAATATTTTTACTTTTTTGAAATAACCACTTCTCTAATTTTTAACTGGGTGGCATGGGTGGTCTAAAACACCCTGTATTATATATATATATATATATATATATATATATATATATATATATATGCTATAATAAACGTTTTCTAGGACGCAAACGAAATCCAAACAGAAAGTATCTGAATTGTATTCTTCAAGTAATAACACTACGTTCCCAAGTGCGAAAAACACAAATAATGAGGCTCGCGTAGTCGAGGCACCAACGTTTCATCCAACGGAGAAAGATTTCCAGGATCCTTTGGAGTATATAGACAAAATAAGACCGATTGCCGAGAAGTTTGGAATATGTAGAGTCGTGCCTCCGCCGAATTTTAAAGTAAATACTGCATAAAAAAATATTATTAAATAGATTATACATACATATACACAGACATATATATATTATTTAAGTATTATAATTATATTAGTCTTTTTTTTCTTCCAATTTTTTAGCCAGAATGCAAAGTATCTGATGACATGAGATTCACTGCTTATAATCAATATGTGCATCGCATGCTCCATAGATGGGGTCCTAATGTAAAAGAAATGATGGCTATTAAGAAATATTTAGCCACTCAGAGTATTACTTTGACTCAACCACCATGGGTAAAATTATTTTATTTTCTAATATCATATATATTGCTTATTGTATAACTTGAAGAGAATTAAAAAATTTAATAATTGTCCACATAATTAATTCTTTTAGATTGGTGGAATGGAAGTTGATTTACCTCACTTGTATCAAACAGTTCAAAACTTGGGTGGATTGAAAGAAGTTATTGAAAAAAAGAAATGGCAAAAGGTAGCAGATGGCATGAAGATACCTAAATCTGCACAAGATCGCGTTACCAAATTAGATGATATTTACTGCAAATATTTATTACCATATGATACATTATCCCCAGGTATACACATATTGTATATTATAAATAATTAAATTTTTGAAGTAAATTAAATTTTTAAAGTTAATTAAATATATAATATGAAGCTTTTATATTATACAAATTATTATTATCATTATATTTGTTTTCTTAGAGGAACGCGAAAAATTGTTTGACGAAGTTGAAGCTGAATGGACGAGAAAGGAAAGCAAAACTTTGCAAAGGCAAGAAGCATCATCCAATGATAATGAGGAGGAAGAAGATGATGACAGTTCCGATGAGATTGAGGAATGTATTGTGAAGGTATGACAAGAAACATTAATAATTATTATAATCTTTCAATATTTTGCAAAACAGATATTAATCATTTTTATTATACACTTTCTTGAATCTCTCAATTTAATACTAATAAATGCTTTCTAGTCTTTAATTTTAAATAAATCTGAAAATCAATTCTTTCAATGAATTTTATCTTACTAAAAATTAACATTGAATTTACTATTTTTTATTTATTCCTATGTTAATAACATAATCATTAAATAATAATTAGAAAATAATAATTAGAAAATATCATATTCATATTCAATTGTATACATTTATATATTGATGATACTATCAATTAAATTATATATGTATATTATGATAATTAAATGATATACGTATTAATATATATTAATATATAATTATATATATAAAGGGAAGAAATATGCCATTGAACGCCTTTTACCGAATCGCCCGTAATACACAACGTATGTGGTTCGGCGAAAATCAACGAGGAAACGAAGCCGAAGGCGCTTCAGCCGACGAGGTGGAGAGTGCGTTTTGGAAACATGTTGCCGAAAGGAAACGTCACGTTTGCGTACACGCGGCGAGCATCGATTCAAGCGGTCGTGGATTTGGTTTTTCCGTTGCCAAAAACAGCCCATTCGCCAGACACCCTTGGAATCTCAAAGTACTCACTAATAATGCCGGATCGGTATTGAGAGCCTTGGGCCCGTTAATGGGTATGGAATTTATAATACACCGATAATATCTTCGTGCAAGCCATTGCAAATCTTTTAATGAATTTTATCTTACTAAAAATTATGAATTTTATCTTACTAAAAATTAATTCCTGCTTTTAGGTGTGACCGTGCCAACGCTGCACGTGGGTATGCTGTTTAGTGCTTGTTGCTGGTATCGCGATCCGCATGGTCTGCCATGGATAGAATATCTACACACAGGTGCTAAGAAAATTTGGTACGGGATACCTGACGAACATAACAACAATTTCCAAAAAGCGCTCTCGAAGATGGTACCACGATATTGTAAAAATAAGACTATATGGTTACCTTCCGACACTGCCATGGTTCCACCGGAATTATTAGTCAGTAACAATGTACCGTTATGTAAGACTGTCCAAGAGCCGGGACAGTTTATAATTGTATTTCCGAAAGCATTCACGTCAAGCATATGCACCGGTTACGTTGTATCCGAGAGTGTGTATTTCGCACAACCATCCTGGTTAGAAACAGCCGAACAAGTTTTCAAGGTACGTTTGTCGATGTACAGAATCCTTTTTCTGAAATTTGTAATTCGTTACTTAAATTGAAATATGATATGCTTTCAGGACATACAAGACAGTTGCGAACCCTCTATATTTTCATTCGAGAGATTATTATTTAATATTATTAATGATACCAGATCTCATATAGATATATTAAAACAGGTAAAATTAAATTTATACTATATAATTGCAAGATTATAATTATAAAAACTTAAAAATAAATAATCGAATATTATTATATAAATTTTTGAGCTCTAAATACACTAATATTGCATATCATTAGATATTACCAAGCGTGATCAAGATCCGTGAGAAGGAGTTAGATTATCGTAAACTATTGGAAAATGCGGGTCTTAACAATAGAGAAAGATTGCCTCTGCCAGATAGTGGAAAAGGGAAAAAAGGGAAAAAAGTGAAAGAGGATGATGGTGATTTCGAATGTGAGACATGTAGAGCCAATTTGTTTGTCTCATTGGTAAACAATTCGCAAGATGATAGTGTCTATTGTTTACCGCACGCATTGCAATTAATCAATCATAAAAAGCAGATTCTGAAACATTGCACTTTAATGTATACCTACGACGAAGTAAGTATAACATTTCTTATTATTTAATTAACATATTCATTAATATATTAATTAATTAAATATTGTAAGTATAAAAAAATTACTCTTTGTTCACCTTAGGACGAATTGGATGGATTAATTAGCAAACTGGAACACAGGATTGAAACCAAATCTAAAAAACCTAATCAAATAAAACAAAATAAATAAAAGAAAAATAAGTGTTATTTAATTTATAAAGGATGAAAGTTGATTATTATTTATTAATTAATATTATAATTATTATTAGAAGAAGGGAACGTGATCGCACTGTATCACGCTCATTATATATAATAGATGATTAGAAAATTTCCTAATATTCATACAATGAATGTATAGTAAGATGAACATATAGTAAAAGATAATGTAAACGATCTTATACAAATAGGTGAAAAGTTTTCTATGATGTTATGTGATTTAATCTAATATTCTTTCAATGGCAAAAATAATCGAATAATTACAATATTGTAATGTATCTATATAGTACTTTTTTATATAGTAATTTTTTGCAGTTTATTTTTAAAAAAATATCCGGAATAATACAGAATATATAATTACTAAGTATTAGAGCAAATTTCCAAAGAGGCGAAAACTCATGTATCCATAGTTTTTAAAATTTATCATATGATCTTGTCTTGATTATTGATTGATTATTATCTTAATTTTAGATTGTAGACTACTAGTAGTAGTTGCTTGAGAGTAACATATAATTTTTTTATAATTATATATTATTTATTAAGAAGACATACAATATACATATACATTTGAAGTAAGATTTTGACAATAGAAAAATAAGGATATTCCAAAATATAATAATAAATTATCTATTAACATTATCTGTGTTTGCGCGATTTGATTATTAATAAATAAAACATATAATATATTGATACGAAATATATTTGTTATGTGTATTTTACTATATATGTAGTTTTTAGAAAAAATTCCTTAAAATTTGACAGGTTAAAAATTATATAATCTTTAGAAAAAGAGAGACAAAGGAGAATATCGTCATATAATTTATATTTTATGGACATTATTTATTATTACACACATTATATATATATATATATATATATATATATATATATATATATATATTTATTTATTATTGAACATTAAATATTTCTCTTTTTCTCTCCCTTTGTAATATGCAAATTGAGAATAAATTTGTTAAAAATAATAACATTCATATATTGTTGTGCTCATTTTCAATATAGATTTTAAGGGATTCATTCTCTTTTTAAAGAATTGAAATCTATGCTAGATGAGAGGAGGTTTATACTTATTTACAAATATTTAAATATGTATAACCGAATATTTGAATATATATACCGATAATCTTAGTTTATTTGTGCACTTTAAAATCGTCTCAGATGTGTGCGATTACAGATTGAGTTTTAGGAACTATCAACTGATTCTATGTCGCTGTCGATGTATATGTTACTTTGATTTTAAAAAATGGATACAGTAATTCCGTTCGATGTCACACGTCATATGTTCTTTTCTTGTTTCACAAATAGCATATATTACTTTAATTCAGCACTTCCTCGATAATCATCTTCCGAGCAATTGATCATTTTTTTAAGAACTTGAATATAAATTGCTGTCTAGCTTATCACAATTTATTTTAACAATTACTGCATATAGCATATTTATTATGTTTAATATTGTTGTGAATTATAACATGATGTAAAGTATTTATTAAACTCTAATCAAATTATATAATCCATTCTTGATGAAAATTATATGATAAAAGATTAAATTTTTTGATATATAAATATAGTTATATACATATTGTTGCATATTGAATATAGTGCATATAATCTATCAATTTATCGTTTTATATATATATTATAAATAGAATATTACATATATGTATATAAGTATATAAGTATATATATATATATATATATATATATATATATATATATATATATATATTACAATAATGTATGTATCAATTAATGTTTATATTTTAAATTTATTGTTATTATTTAAATTTATTGTGCGCTCATCATTAAAAAATTATTATATACACAAATATTGAAAATAATTATTATCTTATTTGGAAAGTAAATCCTAATAGTAGAAAACTAGTGTTACATAATTTAAAAGAATTTATATATATATATATATATATATATATATATATATACATATATATCATATATAGTTCGCATGCAAAGCACTTTTTATATTTAAAATAATAATAACAATAGTAATAACAACATTAATAATATTCATCAAGTAGTGATATTTCTATATCAATATCGATACATAACATATACGACAACATTTTCTTTCATACTTTCTATGTTTGTACTTTGTAATTTTCTAAATATTTTATCAGGCTTATGCAATAATAATACATTGAAATTCATTGGACAATCTGTCACATGACATTTTATATTATACATACATTACATATTATTAATTAAGTCTTTTATCAATATATCTCAGAATACATAAACATCTAAAAAAATCTTAAAGAATATTTCAGAGACACCTCAAAAAATCTAAAATGCAGTTTGCCTCTAGTCATATTTTATATCATTCATAAAATTGTGACGTAAAATATATGTTGTAGCACTTCGTTATTGACTGCAAAATTTATACTGTAAAAATATGAAATACTGCAAGTCATAAATATATTGTTTTGGAATGTTTTCCTTGATAAATTAATTTCACGTATCCAAGCTAAAAATTCATGATGTATCACTGTTCCCTGCGTTGTATAATATCTGACAGTATTTGACTCGAGTTATCGCCCTCTCTCAAATCACCATCTTCATCCGAGCTAAATTCGGCATTAAGAAGATTCATTAAAGATGTTGATTTTTCTGTCAATAATGGTATATTTGAATCAGTTCCATCTTCATGTTTAGCACTGTTGCTAGTCACTTTTGATTGTAATTCCAAGTTGTCAACCATTTTCTTTCTATTAAGTAACACCTTCTGGACGACATGAAGCATTATACCACCAAGGCACATTAACAATCCTATAAAGTTAAGGCCAGTCATTTGGTCTCCCTTCAACGCAAAGGCTAGTGCTAATGTACATATTTCCTGTAAAGAATCATAAAAACTGAGATATGTTTGAAGATAAAAATTAAAACATATTGATTGAATGGAAAGAGGAAACTTATATATGTATAAAACATTTAGAAGCATGCATAAAATTATAAAATTTAATGGCTTGCATAAATATAATGTTTAATAATATATATCTAATATCTAATAATATAATCTGTAATGTCTAATAATATAATCTAATGTCTAATAATATATATAATATTTGAATATACAAAATCTGTTTATTTATGAATTATAGCTTTTTTTATAATTTATTCAAATTGTCAGTGTTTCACTGGAAATAAAACATGAGATATGTCATCTAATATGAAAAAAGCAATAAAATTAATTAATATCATCATTTACCTTAAATACGCCCGAGATCGATAGTGTCAGACTAGAAGTGTAAGTAACAACTAAAAATTCCATCACTTCCATACTAAATGCTAAAATGGCACCTGCTATTACAGCACTTGCAGTTAATAAAATACTACCGACATCACTCCAATCGGTAACTCTAATACCAGTATACATTCTACTTCCTAAAATTTAATTTATTTCTTTCAATATTTTTTAAATTATATAATAAAACGTGCAACGCATATATTATGACTAAATTAATAAACTAAAATTAAAAAAAAAAGAAATTTTTAACGATTACTTATATAATGTCTAATTAATTATAAAATTTCGATAAATAAATTACATTAGAAGGTTGAACAATAATTGAGTTTTAATTATTTAAACGTTATCAAACAAAGCACATTAAATAACAAAATTATATTAACAATAAATAATATCTGAAACATTTTCACATTCACTTTTACTTTTTCAGCCAAAGCATATAAAATTCAGATTCTAACTCATGATAAAATAAGATAATAGTCACAAGAGGCTTATATGTATAAGTGAAAAATTGATTTATTGCAAATCTATCAAAACTTGATATGCTTTTTCTGTTTTTTATCATTCATCCTAAAAACTGTATTGATCAAGTCGTTTAAAATTAAGTCGTGTACATAAAATATGAAGTGAATATGATATCGAATATTGAATGTGTGTAATCGAGAAATATTAATTTGAATCATATCAGTCAATTATACAATATCATTAAATTCCGTTATTTGAAATACTGCGAATTACCTTCAAACCATACAGTTACAAATATTGCTGGTAATAGCATCCAGGGTTGCATGTAATACATCATGTCTATTGGATCGTGGAGACCAAGTTTGGATCTTTGCATAATGAGTTGTGTCATGGTCCATCGAATACCACTCGCAAACGAGGCTAAGAGACACAATATAAATCCGAGAACACCAAATTGGGTAGATTTAAAAGTGAACATTGCTAATCCTCCTGCTATCATCACTACTATTCCTACTAAAGACCATGACTAGAGACAATAAACAAGAGAGAGAATTATTATTTTTCTGTTAGAAGGAAATATATGAGCCGTAATAAATAAATTATGTAATTTTCTAATTAAAAGACTCATACCTTTTTTTCCAGGTTAAAGAGAAGGGAAAATCCAAGAATAAATATAATAGTAGTTGATTTAGTCATGGTAACCCTAGGAAGGAATTCAACTGTATATAATAAATAATAATAAATGTCTTATGTGCTGTATATATATAATTGATGTTCTAATACATGTTTTTATACCTACAAAGATATTGAAATTAATGAAAGTGCCCAATTGGATAAACCAATATCGACACCGCTGGCTATTCCTGGTACCATTATGGAATAAATTATGTTTTGCCATGGTAGATTTATCCGTCTTCCAGTAAAACATCTTCTAATGCATCGTATTAATGCAGATAGTATAAACTTTATAATCAAATGACAAACTACTACTCCAAGTGGAAAATTAAATCCCTAAAGATATTGTCAGTTATTAACAAATTTTTATATTAGATATAGATATATATTAGACAAAATTTATTATATATGTAATTACTCACATATGTATTATAAAGCCATGGATTGTAGAATGTAAGGCCTATTGATAAAACAAAGTAAACAAAGATCAATAAAAACACTTGGTATGCTTTCCTCCAAAATGTAATTTCTGGGCTTGTTACATTTTGGAAATCTGGAACATTTTGCGGCAAGTATTCTGATGTATCTACATCGTCTCTAGCAATTTGATATTTTATGTGCGAGCGTGTCATATTCTGTAAATTAAAAAATTCTGAAAAAAATTTAGAAATTGATTGATTGGCAGCACAATGTTTTATAAATAAGAAGAGAAAGAGAAGCAGAAAAACAAGCAAATAAAGCAATGCAAAAATATATAACTTGTCTCGTTTTATATTATACTATATTAATAATAGAAAAGACTCAAGAATCTTTATCTCTATCATTTTAACCGTGTTTCTTGGAACTTATATAAAATGCACCTAAATAATTTGTAACCCAGCTACAAATATATCATATATTTTTTTCTATGATTATGAACAAATTACTGTTTATAATATCATAATAAAAAATCTCTACACAAGACTAATGAAAGAATAATGATGTATCATAATTTCAAGATATGATAATTTTCGAAAGAACAGCTTTCGCTGTTTTCAAAAAAAACTTTCTTCTACCGTCTTCGAAACTTTCTTCTATTTTTTTTTTATAAAATTTTTATTCATTATTTTAAACACATTTTTCTATGATTTTACTCGGTTTTATAAAACGGAGCACACAAAGTAGCGCTCCATTTCTGCGGGATACGAGATGCGAAAAAAAAAGCATAATACATAAATACAGAAAAGCAATATATTCGCGAAAAACATACCGCTTTATGGAATCTTATGCCTAAAGAAATCACTGATAAATCATCGCGATTGTATTCCAGGAAATGATACGCATATCGTTCGTATGAAAAATCGAAGAGCGTCCATATGTCGCTCACAGCATCACCTTTCCTGAAAGTAAAGATTGAGGAATCGAAATTAAAATCGTGAGAGATCGGCAGTAATCAAATATCATTGGAAATATCATCGGAAATACATATAATCGTTCACCTTCACTTTAGTATAAGGTAATATAATTCGGCGAGAGCATAACCTAAAAGCAAAAGCGATGTACGACAACTGTCACCGTGACTCACTATCAATTTCCTCAAGACTTCCCTTCCCCTCGATCTTATCAGTTTTTGCTGCGAGCCGTTTTATGCGAGGGTGGTTCGCTTATCAGGTTGGCAATGATAAAGCAAACATGCTTGTATTTTCGTCTTCTCTTTGATCACCTGTCGATCTGTCGCGACTCACACGCACGCATATAATTAATTACTTTGTATTGGATCGTTAAAAAAAAAATTACCGCGTTACGTCGCAAAATCGATACCGCGGTGAAATGTTTTGCCTTGCATTTATTAGATCACCGAAATAAAAATTGGACGATACGAATAATCTTTACGCTTACGAATAATATTATGATTACAATTTTAATTAAATTAATAATAAATAAATGTAAATAATAAATATTAATATTTAAATTAACAGATATTAAAATATATAATTATATTAATAATTATATTTAATATAAATATTTAATATTAATAAATTATAAATTATATTTAATATTAATAATTATATTTATAATATGTTATGAATTTTTATATTATAACAATTTTTATATGAAATATTCTTCTAAAGTATTAAAATATAAATAAAAATATTTACATATTATTATTTTAATTAAAATATTTGATGTCAATTTTTAAGGAAGAAAATTGATATAAATGAGATGTTTTGAAAAAATCGAATTTCTTTGCCTTAAGGTTTTGAGTTTTAAAAATATGCCTGAAATATTTTATTGAAATTTAAAGAGTTACAGAAGCATTTAAATAATAGCCCTTTTTTAACCGTAACATTGATTTCTCCTCTTAATTAGAAAAATCGCGCGAATTCTTGCAAGTAGCAAAATATGCGTCAAGTATGTAAAATAACTATGTTAAATATTTACGAGCACTCAAGTAAAATTTGCGGCTACTTGCGAACCGAAAAAAATTAACCTTGCGATTATCATATATTTTAACGATAAGATTCCATGTAGCAATAGTTGGCAGTTGTGTGCAATGGCATAAAAATAAAGAGAGTTATGTCGGAAATTTTAACGCGAATTTGCTTAATCCCAAGCAATATTTTTCTCAACGATATACAATTTTGAACCTAATATATAATGTAAATCGTTTTCTCCCTTTTTTATTTTTTTATTATTATATGTAAAATTATTTTGTAGAAATATTTCCCTCCTTTATTTTTTTTATTATATGTAAAATTATTTGGAATATTTATGAATATATATTTTTAGACATAATATTTTAACATTTAACATATTATTTAACATATTATAAATATTTGGAAAAGTTATAATAATGTACAAATATAAAATGAGAAATATACAATGTTATTGAAAATGATGAAATTGCTTGACAATTTTGCGAAATATAATTCATTTACTTTAAAGAGAAAAAGAGACACACATATATAAAATGTAAAAAACTGAATTTTGTTAATCAAAATTAATGGACTAAAATAAATGGGTGTATCAATAAGCGAATTTTTTTATCTCAATCCAATTTTTATTATAATTCATTCATTGTCTATTCCAGTCTCGTCAGATTGTTTTATTTTCATCATAAAGAAGATATTTTTATTATTATATATTGCAATAGTGGTATCAGTTTTGTCAGTTTTGATTATGAATTATTCCGCGTAAATAACAATTGATATCATTCATGATTTAATGGCTGAAAGTGTTAATCATTAGGAAAATTGGCAAAATAAACTCAATGTTCAATATCTTCAGAATATATAAATATGAATATATGAATATTCGCGTAATAGAATCGTAAAATTTATACACGTAAAAAGAGAATAATTTTTTAATTAGATACATTAAATAACAGATTGGTATTCCATATTTAAAAACTAGTAAAAATAATTTCGCATAGTTATAATCACCTTAATTTTTTCTGCAATATATAAAGAACTCAATGTTCTATTGAAACAATAATTATTGTGTATATATTTTTCTGTAAATACATGTAGCTGACTAGAAATCGCTCTATCCGTATTGAATAAACTTTAGATTTTATCATTTTTGATCTTATCTAACTTTATTTGAATAAGCTTTAGATAATAATATTACCTGTATTTTTTCTCAAAATGTTAAATTTAATTTTAAATCATTATGCTAATGAAGAAAATATTTTTTTATATATTATATATATATTTACTCATTTTTCTGACATAGGATGCCATATCTGTTTTCATTATAATTAAGAGAGTTTACCCGATAAAGATGGAGAAAGGATTCAGTCATTCATAAAAAAATTCTTTAGAGCAAAAAAAAGGCATGCTTTCCAATTATATGAATTATTTACAGATTGGAACACAATTGATAAGTAGCAATACACCAACAAGCATATTTTGAGTCATATACAATATCATTAAGTGTTATAAGATTTAACAATTAAGTTTTAAAAATCTTAACGATGGTAAAAGTTTTAAAGAATTTTTTTGTCAAAGTTCTTAATACATTTTACATTTTTTCTTAAATATATTATGTAGAGATAATAAAAATAGGCGCGCAATATTTAAATTTTAAATATAAATTTTAATTAATTTATGTGCATATTGTGCAAATGTCATAAAAGCAAAAACAATAATGAACAAAAATAACATAAAAGATAACACTTCATAAAAGATAACATTTCAAAATGCAGATTACTCAGGATTTCATCCTGCAAAGAAAGAAAAAAAAAAGATGCTCACTGAGATATGTTACCTTTTATGGATATATCAATTTCTTAATTAAAAAATTAATTAATCTTAATATTAATTTATTTTTTAATTTTAACTAATATACACATTATAAATATATGTTATATATTCTACAGTTTTACACACACGCACGCACGCACACATACACACAAACACACAGAGCATAATATGATTTTTCTGTCATATTTTACAAATGAGAAAAGTTTTTAATGTGATCAAAATTTTCAAAACTTTTTAAGACATATATTTATTAAGATTTTCATATTTCAAGAGATTCATATTTTTTAAATAAAAGGAAAATTTAAAAAGTATACTTAAATATGTAGAAACAAAGATAAATTTGTTAGATTTTTTAAAAATTTGCAAGACTTTAATCAATATTTGAAACAATGCAGCAAAATTGCTCGAAAAATGAATTAAACATCCATTATTATGGTGATTATTTGCGATTTTCGGTTAAGATCGCATTCGCGGATTCAATCTCGATCAAATAGTGCTAGTTTGTCATTACATCTCAAAATTACATATTTGTTCAAAAAATGCGTCAAGAATCAGAGTTTAAAAGAAAAAAGAAATAATATATTATACACAACGCGCAAGTGTTCGTGCACGCACACACACGCACACACACACACACACACATTGGTTTGTTCGTTACACGTATATGATCAGCCGCTTTCTTCTCGTGTGTTATCTCCGGTCGCTGCGATTCCCGTTCCTGTAGCCACCGCGGCCGCGCGAGTTGCTCTTGGTTGTCGGTGCCGACTTTGCCGTCGACTCTCGTTCTGACGACGAGTATCGCACCGAGCCACCGGGTAGACCGGAGCCGCCACCGCTACCGCTTCCGACATTGCCGACATTGTTACCGTTACCGCTGCCACCGTTTCCGCTTTTCGCGGTCGTCGAACTCGCCGTGGCTCCGCTACTGGGAGTTGTCGTGTTACTCTGGATAGCCTGCAGATAGAGATTGCACGTGTTTTTAATCGAAATTAGCTTTACAGATATTTTGTACAATCCCAGCAAAAAGTAGCTGAAAATCAATATTGAACGAATATCCACTTTTGGTGTATTTTGAATATGAGAAATTGTGTGGAATATTACAATTTGATTTTAGCTACAGTACAGAGATGTATTTTTTAATATTTATTGCGTTTTTATTGAAATATTCCGAATTTTGTTAATCGAAATGATTAACTTTTGGCAGAAAATTTCGCCTTGTGACAGATACATGGCTAACTTTATTGAATTATATTTAATATCTTTTTAATCAGTTAGTATTTGTATAATATTATTCGATCAAATATTTCCTCTGTGTCTAAACTTTTGCAAATTTTAAACAAATTCTGAATATTATTTCCATGTGTTTTTATTATTTGAATCGACGTTATACGTTTCCCATAAGAACACATGTTAATTCGGTGCAAATTAAAATCCTTATAACTTGTGAACGCTTTAATGAATAGATTTAAAAATTGTACTGAAGATTCTAAAACATATGTAAGGACATTCTGTACAATTTTCATTAAATTTTCAATATTTTGAAAATAGATACAAAACATCCTTAATCGAAATGCGTTCGAGTCGTTGTCTATATAAAAACAGATTAATGTTACTTTTTTGGTATACTTTTCCAGCTCATATATTGTCATTTGTTATTCATTTAAATATATAAATAGTTTTTAATATATATGAATTAAATAGTATTCATTTCTAAACATGTTTATCTAAATGATGGAAATATTGAATAAGACATTATTTTCCTGACTCTCTCACAATATTGAAGAAAATGGTTCCTACTCAACAAACACCAGTAACATTTATATAATTGTTAATTGTAATTTCCCACTCAACAATATAATTGTTACATGTTATATAACTGCTACATAACTGTTACATAACCTGTAACAATTATTTTGTTGAGTAGGAAATTATTAATATAACTGTTATTTAATATTTGCTGGATATATTCCTAAACTTGTAACATAATAAATTATAAAAAAATTCATCTACATCAACAATCCCAACAGGAAATTGAAGTAAGATATAATTCGACACTGGAGAAAATTAATATAATAATTTTGACAATGCGCGAATGAAAAGAATTAAAAAAAAAAGTGGAGCATTGCGAGTAAAATTTTCAATTAAATAGTATTTATTTCTAAATATTTTTATCTGTAAATGATGGAAGTATCGAATAAGACATTGTTTTCCTGACTCTCTCACAATATTGAAGAAAATGATTCCTCAGCAAACACCAGTAACATTTATATAATTGTTAGTTGTAATTTCCATTCAACAATATAACTGTTACATGTTATATAACTGTTACATAACACATAACAATTATTTTGTTGAGTAGGAAATTATTAATATAACTGTTATTTAATATTTGCTGGGTATATTCCTAAACTAGTTACATAGTAAATTATAAAAAAATTCATCTAGATCAACAATCCCAGGAAATTGAAGCAACATATAATTCGAGACTGGAGAAAATTAATATAATAATTCTGACATGCGTGAATGAAAATAAGAATCAGAAAGAAAAGTGGAGCATTGCGAGTGAAATATTCAATTAAATAGTATTCATTTCTAAATATTTTTATCTGTAAATGATAGAATTATCGAATAAGACATTGTCTTTCTGATTCTCTCACAATATTGAAGAAAATGATTCCTATTCAGCAAACACCAAGTAACATTTATATAATTTTTTATATAATTGTTAGTTGTAATTTCCCACTCAACAATATAACTGTTACATAACACGTAACAATTATTTTGTTGAGTAGGAAATTATTAATATAACTGTTATTTAATATTTGCTGGGTACATTCCTGAACTAGTTACATAGTGAATTATAAAAAAATTCATCTAGATCAACAATCCCAACAAGAAATTGAAGCAACATATAATTCGACCCTGGAGAAAATTAATTTATAACATAAATTAAATTAATAACAATTCTGACAATGCGCGAATGAAAAGAAGAATTAGAAAGAAAAGCATCGTGGGCGAAATTTTCAAAACATCATGTACCAAGGGCTGCCGTCCCGATTGACCCGAGATACTATTGGCGTTGCCGTTGTTGGTGATGCTGTTGTTGACGTTGCTGCCGGGCGGGCCCGAGCCGCTCTGATTCACCAGCTGCTGCGACAGAATCGGATTCGGGTCGCTCATGTTGACCTGCTCGTTGATCACCATGCAGAACTCCCCTATCTTCTGTATATCGCCGTTCTTGCCCGAGTACAGGGTCAGGCACTGCCGCCAGACGGACGCGTAGCCCTTGGTGAGCCGCACGATGTCGCCCGGCATCAGAAGCTGGCCGGGCTCGTCCCAGATGGAGACGTTCATGCAGGCGGTGCTGTCGGCCACTTTGAACGTTCGAACTTCGCGGTTCTCTTTAGTGATGGTAGGGTGGCTAACCTCCAAAACGATAAACACTACGTTGATGTTCTTCTGGCCCGCCCGGATATCCTTTATCAGCACGTAATCCATCGTCCCTACAGCGACTCGTGCCTACGCACGCACGACACATACACACATACACACGCGCGAGCGATCGAGCGTCCTTATCGAGGACGCTCGTCCCGTGTATCTGTCGCACGCGACGCGTGTTACCCAAATGACGCACGACGGACGTCCGTGCGTCAAAGTGCACGTTGTCCCCCACACTCGGAGTACCTTCCCCCTTCCGCCCCGCTCGACCCCTCTCGTTAATCAAGCTCGGCCCTTGGGGTTTTGGAGAGGAATCGAGGATCGTTCGCGTACTCGAAAAATATCACCGACTCGGTGAGACAGAGCTTAACGACAGAGTCGGTGGTGCATCAGAGAAATGAGAAGGGAGTGTCGTTGATAGGTGACATGGGTCGGCCATGTCATTCTCTTAGTTTGTAGCGCCACCGTTCATCGAATGACACGCGCGCAGCATCATCGTCATAGAGCTTATATATCTGTAGATGCCTTCCGTATATTTTTCCTTCGCGTGTTTAGATATTTCCTTTGGGTCGAATGACAGACAAAGATATCTTCTATCCTTTGTTGTAAAACACGCGTCACATTTAGAGAGATACTCATCCGTTATTTATGGATTTTTTTTTAATATTATCTCGAAATATTTTTTGAGTCATGTTTTTGGAAAGGATTTTACCGGAGCGAGTATTCTGCTTAACCAATCGGAAAATTAGAATAGGATAGAAATTTCTATATGAGAGTGACACTCGATTGACCACGTCGCCAATTGGCCAATTCAAAATAGGACTCTCTGATTGGTCAATCGTTGCTGGTTACCTTAGGCACAAGTCGATATAATTGGCTGTGGTCATGGAGCTTATATATCTGTAGATGCCTTCCGTATATTTTTCCTTCGCGTGTTTAGATATTTCTTTTGGGTCGAATGACAGACAGAAAAAGATATCTTCTATCCTTTGTTGTAAAAAACGCGTCACATTTAGAGAGATACTCATCCGTTATTTATGGATTTTTTTTGAATATTATCTCGAAATATTTTTTGAGTCATGTTTTTGGGAAGGATTTTACCGGAGCGATAATTCTGCTTTAACCAATTGGAAAATTAGAATAGGATAGAAATCTCTATATGAGGGTGACACTCGATTGACCACGTCGCCAATTGGCCAATTCAAAATAGGACTCTCTGATTGGTCAATCGTTGCTGGTTACCCTAGGCACAAGTCGATATAATTGGCTGTGGTGAATGAGCTGTGGTCTCCTCTGAGAACATTCATGGACATTGGCTTTGTAGTTCATGTCCACGTTTTCAATGTCCATAGAGGGAGTATCACTTTCAGGGATTACCTAAAAGCAGGCCATGACACCTCTCAAGCTTCTCTCTGTATACAAACGGAAATGTCATGAATATATAAAGTGTACTTTGATGAATTCGATGTAGATATCAACAAATTATATGTATGATTCTAATATTCTGCTAATATAATTAAAATCTTTTTTTTTATTATTGTAATTCTCAGTTATCCTTACATAAGATCGTCCTTTTTTCAATCCAAATAATTATCGAAAATATAAAATGACAACCGATATAGTGGCAATGTTAAAAGAACCGAGAATGATAAAAATATGTGCTCCGATGGTTAGATATAGCAAGTGAGTATAATAAAATAAAATGATAATTCTTAAAAATTGATTCATGTAAATTATATTATTAATTTTTTTTTCCGCTATGATTGTAGATTACAATTTAGGACACTTGTAAGACGATACGGATGCGATATATGTTTTACGCCTATGATCTTAGCCGATTCGTTTGTCCGATCTTTAAAAGCTAGAGAAAATGAGTTTACTACGCATAAAGAGGATAATCCACTAATTGTCCAATTTGCGGCTAAAACTGTAAACGATTTTGTTGGTGCCGCAGAAATGGTTGCACCGTAAGTTTATTATATATTATAGCTTATACATATATTTTATGCAATAATATTGCAAATGCTTGTTTTTTGTCAAATTAATAAATAGATAAAGAAATATTATTTATTATGAGTATTATTATAATACTCTCTATTATTATTTAAATTAATAAATAGACAAAGAAACATTATTTATATATTGTTTTTTGTATTGCTTGTTATTTTATTTATTTTGTAATTAATAGGTATTGCAATGGTGTAGATCTGAATTGTGGTTGTCCGCAACGTTGGGCTATCAAGGAAGGATATGGTGCTGATTTATTGAAAAAACCGGAACTTGTAAAAGATTTGATATATGAAATCAGAAATCATATTCCAAGACCATTCACTGTTTCTGTGAAGATACGCCTGTTAAAGGATATACGTCAGACAATAATGTTATGTCAAGTCTTGGAAAAAGCTGGTGCTTCATTTTTAACAGTCCATGCAAGGACTCCTGAGATGCGTAATGAACCAATTGACTTGGACAATCTAAAGCTTCTTAGAGATCATATACAGTTGCCTCTAGTTGCAAATGGTGATGTGAAAAATTTAGAAGATGCGGAATTTTTATTTAAGGAATCTAGATGCGAAGGAGTAATGTCTGCTAGAGGTATTTTAAACAATCCAGCATTATTTTCGGGACATTCTACTACTCCACTTGTTTGCATTCAAGATTGGTTGAATATTACATCGACTATTCCAACAGAATTTCAATGTTTCCATCATCATTTAGTATTCATGTTGGAAAAAATTCTACCGAAGAAAGAGCGAATATTTTTCAACAATTTACAAAATAAATCATCTGTATTAGAATTTTTAGAAAATTATTATAATATCAGACCAAGTATTCAACATAATTTAATGGAATTAACCAAGTGCAATTTTGATATTTCATATGTACAGCATAGAAAACAATTTATTAATTATTGGGATGATGATTCATTTAATTTTTTGGGAAATATATTTGATGCAAATTCATAAAAAATATGTTTTTAACTTTAACCTATTTTCACTTCTCTGAGACAAAAGATTTTCAATTTTTTTCAGCGTATTTTAAAGATTTTTCTTTTTTTTTTTTTTAATTTGCATCTAGTTTAAATTATTTTCTATAGAAGTAAAATTTTATATTTAAAAAATTTTATATCTGATTTTTACAAGATTGATTTTAATAGAAGTTTTAATGTTTTATTGTTTTAATGTTTTAATTTTTTTTATATGTATTCTTTAAACAAAGTAACTGTGTACAAAAAAAATTTTGTTTTAGAATTTAATATATATATGGAAAGGAAAAAAAATATCTATATATTTTTTTCTTTCCGGTTTCATCGAAGATATACAGTATGTATATAAATTCTACAGGTTTTATTGAGAAACAAATTTTGTAAAAACTTTAAATTTTAAGAAAATGTAAAACTTTAAATTTTAAGAAAATGCAATATATAAAAAAATGATTTTTCTTTATTTAAAAATCGGAGGAAGAAACTCCTAAATCGATATTTAGTCGGTCTCAAATTTTTTAAAAAACCCGCTTTATAAGTCGCCATTTTATTTAATTCCTCTCAGATTCCACATCTACAGATGGCAGTAAAATAAAACTTGTTTGAAAAGAGAGAGTTTTCTCTCTTCTTTGTTTTTTGTTGTCCTCTTTATTTCTATTTTTATTCCGACTCGCTTATTTTCACATTCTTTTTGATGACACATTTGTTTTCATTGATAAATCAAAACGATTTTCGCATTATTGTACTGCTAACAAATGTAATACTGCGTATATATGTGTATGATTATTATTATAAATAATATTTGAAAATATTATAGATAGTGAATTTAATAAAATGAGTTATAATTCACGTAAGTCTTGTACAAAATTTTGCCTTGCATTGGTCTATATTTGTAGCATATATTTGCATAACTTATGAAAATATCTAATTATCATAATTATTAAACGCTAATATTTTTAGAAATTGAGATTAATATATATATAATATAAAGTATTTCTCTTGTATTGTAATATCTCTAACTTATCAATAAGATTTAATATAGATTGTATTAATGTTTATTTATTAAAAATCTCTTTTTTAAACCTTTTCTAACTATATTATTTTATTCTATTTTTCCTAACAAATTTTTATACATCTTTCAAAGTTTTTCATTCATATGAAATACAATGAGAAAAAAAGATTATAATTTAACATGGTTCTAGACATTACGGAAGAATGTCCTTTAACAAGGGAAAAAAGTTACAAATATAGATTATGTGTTTACTGTGGCAATGGACTAAATTTTATCATTGTCTGTTTTGTTGCGTTGACTTTTGCTATCACTACTATGTTGGTGCTGCAGATTCTTTATACTGAAAATATACCACAGGTAATAAATTAAAAAAACTATATATATATATATATATATATATATATATATATATATATATATTTAGTGTAATAAAAAATTCTAATAAAATTCTAATTATTTTAGAATAGCCTTCATGGCATACATGGAGCAGTTGCTACAGATTATTCAAATTGTTCTCAAATTGGTACTAGAATATTAAGGAAATTAGGCAATGCAGTGGATGCTGCAATAGCTGCAACCATTTGCATGACTGTAGTAGCACCTCATAAAACTGGTCTTGGCGGGTGAGATATAGACTAAAATCTTAATTATGTTATGTTTTTTTAAATATCTTTTTCCTTTCAGAGGTGGTTACATAATGATATATAATTCTAAAAGTGACATTCATCCAGTTGTTATTGATTTTGCAAATAATGCTGATAAAGGTTTGTGTATTCTGTTCTATTTATGTGATAAAAAGAAATTCAATATATATAATATTACTTATCTACATAATATAGGTTTCTTTGCTAAAGCTGGAATTCGTTTGCCAGCTCTACTAAAAGGATTAGAATTTGCTCATATAATATATGGCAACCTGCCATGGCATGATATAGTAGAACCCTCTGCTAAGTTGGCTCGAGAGGGTTTTGTTGTATCTAAGGATCTTGTGGATGAAGTATCAAGAAATACAGATTATGGAACACATTATAATGGTCCTTTGAATCCAGGTGATATATTACAATTGCATGAGCTTGCAAATACATTAGATATGGTGGCAGAATACGGTGTAAAAGGTACACTATGTATTATATTATTTTTGCAATTTAATCTTCAATTGCAAATAATAATTTTCATGCAACGTTATTTTGATTTTCTTAATAGGATTGTATTAAAACTTCTTAATTTTTTTTTTAGTATTCTACAATGGTAATTTGTCGAATAAAATTCTGCACAGTAGTAGTAATTTACATGAAGATTCTTTGCAAGAATTAGCAAGTTACATGCCCACTTTAACAATTGCACAAAGCTCAACATTACATCATCATACAATTTATTACCCACCGCGTATGTCTCTTATGCAAACAGTAATTGAGACATTGGAGAGCCTTCCAATTTTAATGGGAAACGCGTCCACAATAGAATCGCTAACTCTTGTCGCAGAAACATTGATGCACATATATTCGTCTTCTCATGTGCAACATGGTGAGTCATATCGCTCTAATTATTACTGGCAAGCATAATTGTTTAATAATCATATGATCACGATTTTAGGGGAAAGAGGAGCATTTACTGGAGTTATGGCAATGGATTGGCAAGAAACATATGTTTGCATTTTATCGTTAGTAATTCAAATCATTTATATTTACATATCTATTGGATAACTTTACATATTGTTATATTTTTTAATATATTATAAATAATGCAGTGGTTTAAGTTCACCTTTGGGACCTGGAAATATGACGGACGCTGGATTTTTGTTAGATAATGTCGACGATAATGACTTATTTACATTTATCCCTATTATTTTCCATTATGAAAAGGGAATATGTGGATTACGTGGAGTATTTGGTTCGGACGATGTTTTTCTTAATGGGCAAATCCTTTATAATCTTATCGTTCGTGCTCTTAACGTTTCCGCCGCAATAGAATATCCCAGGTACATGAAAAGATTTAATAATTTTAGATAAATTGATAAAATATTATCTTGCACATACATACACACTGTATCATTTTATTTGTTTTTACAGATATTATTTTGCTCCTGATGGTATAATGATAGAAAATAATCAAAGACATTCGATAGACACTGCATTGCAGGCTCGATTATATCCCATGATATTATCATTACCTATCTTTGATGATAATTTACTTATAAAAAGTATAAATGCAATTATTAAGAAGAAAGATTCGTTATCGAGTCATTCTGATAGTCGTGGAAACGGAATAGCATCCCGATTTTAAATATACTCCTTGTTATAAGAATACATATCAAAAATCTTAAGAATCTTAAAGATCGCATAACACTGTGATATTAGAAAATATAATTTTAGACTTAGATGTTATCACAAATATTCGTGGGCACACGCAATAAAGGTGATCGATTGTTTAAGTTATATCATTATATAAGTGAAATGAAAGGTATAGATATTTTGTAAATATTAAAACATTAATTCTCTATTACAATACTGTTTTACATGAATAAGTGTAAATACATATATTTATACACTGTTGCAAAACTAAAATGAACTTTTGCATCAGTTTGAATTTAACATACATACTTACTTATAAAAAGTGCTTTCTACATTATACTTCGTATTTTTAAAAAATGTATTTTTAAGAAAATATATAACAATATATACAATTGTAAAAAAATGATATATATATACATATATAAATTCTAATAAAATTATATATTATTGTTATACTTTAAGCTGCTGTCTCTCCATTTTATATTCTTTACTTAAATCTAATTGCCTAATCCTTGCATAAAATGCACTGGCAGTAAGTACAATGATATTACTTATCCACCAAAGAAATGATTTTTCTTCATTAAACCAATAAGTTGCTAGAACTGTTTGAGCACATGCTTTTGCAGTACCGCTAACATTATGTGTTAGAGGAGATGTGACCTTTATTTGAAGCGCAGTAAAGTATCCAATGGCAAAACCAAATACACCACCAATCGTCATAGCACCCCAGAAAAGAGGATATCCAAGTTTCTCGTAATTGTATACAATTGTTGGTTCACCGCTAATTATCATTAATGGAATAAAGATAATAATGCTATATACATTGTTATAATAAGAAAGTAACCAAATGTCGTTATTTACAGCTGGTAGTGTCTGCTTTAAACGGATGGAATATAAAGATAATGACAATGATCCGAGCACACCGAAAAATGTACCAAGAATGGATAAGGAACCTGCTACATGCTCCTGATCTACACCCAGCCAAAACCCAGAAACGATTACTGCACAGCACATTATGCATTTGAAGGATGTTTTTTGCCCTGTAATTTTGATCGATTAATTTCTTCAATAATTTTTAAATCAAAGTTTTTGTTTAAAGTTTTTTTTTTGTAAATTTCTCACCAAGTAAGATATAGGTAAACACCACATTAAATACAGTCGTTAGCGAACGGCCTATATAATAAAAAGCGACACCAACATACTTTAAACACAAGTTATTAGTTGCTATCATTCCAGTAAACAGGAGTGATAATGGCAGTACCTATAAAAGTTTGTCTATATAAACACATTATATATACTTTCACAAAAATAAAAAAATTTGAAGAGAAGATTTCAGAAAGTTCAAGATCTTATCTTCCATATATTTTAATTTTCTTAAAGATTTCATAAATTTATTGGACATTTTAATAATATTTCGTAATTTTGTTTGTAACTTGCAATGTTGAATATCGACAATTTACATATCTAACTATTAAAAATTGAAAATAGCAATGCGAATTGTTTGAAAATTGAATCTATTTTTATATGATTGAAAAATAATAATTATACAATATTGTTAAGAGAATTTATATACCTTTTTTAAAACATCCTTTTTAAATGGACTACCATCTGCAATTTCAATGTATCCTGGGAACCATTGTGATAGTTTGCGTAAAATAATGCAAATAACTGTACTCACTATGCATTGAAACCAAGTTACAAATAGAGGGGCATCCAAATTCACAGCTTTACTGGATAAGAGTGCCTTATTTACAAATACAGTTAAAATGGATATTATCCTAAAAATGATTTAAAAATATATGTAGTTTTATATATATATAATTATATCAAAATTTATAACAATTATACTGAGCATATTCTTTATATTATAAAAGAATCTAATATATAAGGGTATTTAATAAAAATAAATTGATAAAATTGAGAGAGAGAATATGCAAACAATCTAATATTAGTTTACAACTTACCAGTAGGCTGCAATTACAAATGTAATGTATATATATTTGGATGCAAGTCCTTTTTCCAAGCTCATCTTGATAAAATTTATATATTTTGGAAAAAATTATATATATATTTCAGTCAAAAATATGGATAAATTATTCGTATGGTTACAAAATAATTATGTAGCACTGACAACTTGCATTGAGTGTTTTTCTGTCGAATTATTGTTTTATATATTACTATAAAAAATATACCATAAACAATTATACATAAAATCAAAATATTTCGATGAAATGTCAAATAATTGAAAATCACATAAAGTATATATAAATGTAATTAAATTGTATATAAATATCTGTCTAAAGCCTAAAGTTTTACTCGTTATGCTGAGGCATACATTTAATGACAACTGATAATAGCTTAAGAATATGATAAAAGCTTACATTTAACATTATTCGTTTATTTTGTAATCGTATACTATTCTTTATTTATAAAGTATCTTCGAATATTGTCGAGTTTTGATTGCCGGATTGAGCTGAAATGTCAAATAATTTTGAGGTTAAATACGATGGAATTTTTTCCAATATTAATATATGTATATATTTGAGAGATCATATTAATAAAAGTGATCAGATTACGATATATATATATATATATATATATATATATATATAAAATAATTTTACAATTTAACTTTATTAAAACTGCGAGAGAGGCTAATTTTACACGCACATGGAGTCGACCTCCTTGACTTGACAGTTTATCTCGAGTTTGACACGCACACACATTTTTCAACATTTTCTCTTTATATGTGTATATTTTAATATTTTCCCTAAATGTTTTTAATATTTTCCCTAAATTTAAATGGCACATTTGCAAAATGAAACTATTTTAGCATGCTATCTTTTATTCACTTTTTCTCTCTCTTTCTCATGTGTTTATCACATGGGTATTCATTTTGACGAGTGTTGAAATGTGTTGAAAGAATCGCTCTATCTTCGTTTGATATTCGATGTGCAATAAAGACAGAATAATGCTCATAAAGCGTGCAAAGCGAATATGACAAGTAGTGAAAGGAATAACGTAAGAGAAGAAATTTATTTAGAGCATTTAGAGAACTAACTAATAATTGAGAGATTCGTGAGATTTTAATGTAAAATAATTTATATTTTTTTCATAGCTTCTTAAAATACAAATAATTTAATCAAGCTTTTACTTTTAATATTTTTAATGTTTATTTTAGTTTATATATATATATATATATATATATATATATATATATGTGTGTGTGTGTGTGTACAATATAAAACATTTTATATTTTCAAGTAACAAATAAATATTACCTGATTTTAGTATATGTTGTTTTCATATTTTGGATTATATTTAATGCTTTGATTTATATGTAATATACAGGGTGTACCTCCTAGAAGTGGCCACCCCCATATATATATATATATGTGTGTGTGTGTGTATGTATATTATTTTGATGCACGTTTTTTTATAAATTAAACAGTTTTTAACATTTTGATGTTTTAGATATTTTCAATTTAAAAATTTTAAATATTTGTGAAACTTATAGTTTAACTTTTGTATATATATGAATTGTAATCTAGCTGTTCTCCTATAAAATCTGTTTTAGTAACTAAGTTTGCCTCTTATTTTTAATTTAGATTCAAATTTTAATTTAAAAAATTTCTATTATATTATGACATATATGTAGTTTAATTTTGATAAATCTTGTTACTTATCTGGTTTTCTTTATTCTTTGTAAAAATAAACTAGTGTATTGAGCAGAGCTTGACAATTAAATAATGCATTAAAACGGATTGACAGTTTAATAGATGATAGAGATCATTTTGGTTTCTCTCTCATTACAAATAAATCAATAATAATATAGTGTATATAAATATAAAATTGATGTTTTAACGTAAATAGTTGGATATTGGGATATACAATTTACTTTAAATTCTGTATATAATTTATAATAAAATCTGTATAGAATTCCATTCATAACTTTATATAGTAATATAAAGAACATTTGAAGAATATTAGAATAATAAAAAAAAATTACACATATATCAAACATACATTAAGATATAGAAATGCATTAAAATATATGGTATATTAAAATATATATGGTAAAATAAATATAAAATGTTATTTTTAATTTTACTACAAATTATATTGTTTGAAAAAATCAAGATCGCAATCACGCACTTAGATTAATTAAATTTAATTCAAAGAAGCATTAATTCAGATGAAGCATTATATCTTCTTTTTTTTAGGATTTTTGTAAACACAACTTATATACATTTAGTAGAATTCTGTATATTAAGAACTTCAAATATAGTATACAATTGGAAAATGAATTATGCATTTGGAAACTTTGGTTGGTACATTAAATATTTTTCCCATAATATGTTATAGTAATAAACAAATTTTCATTGTTTCAACAATAATTTCAAAATATATTATAGATTTTATAGTATATATACTTATGCTATAAAATCGTTTGTAATAACGATTGTTTCCTAAATTTTAGTCGCGTATTTTTATTGCTTATTGTCTATACTTTGTTTTGTATATTATATTAGTATAGAAATAAGTATACAAATTTTACATATTAACCTTTACTTTATCTTTATCAAAAAGATCTAACAAAGCATATACAATTAATACTTAGGTCTTTTTTCCAAGATACAGAAAAACTTCATAATTTTTCAATTATATTAAATGATAAAAGAAAAAGATTAATCATTATTTATATTTATATTATTACACATAATTCATAAATAAATGAATGAAAACTCTTGTTTCTTCACTATAACATTATGATATCATTAAGAGAAATTATATAATTTTTGTATTTGTATTATATGTTGAAAATTTACATTTAGGTTATAATGAAGAAACAGAGCTTATAAAAAAATATATAAATATTCATATATAATTCGTATATTTACAAAAAAAAAAAAAAAACAAAAACTAAGGAGATAAGTAATACATGTGCCCATTTAAGCTTATATTACATACTTTGGAATTCCATTTACACTATTCAAATTTAATAGATTGTATTTATACCTTTTCAAATGATATGTAAACTTTCATCTCATATTCAAGGAAATTCGGGGAACTTCAGTTCATATTTCAATATGATTCCATTGAAATTTTTCATATATAAAAGTTTCACAGTGCCATTAATTTTTGGTTATGTAAAGTAAATATATATTTATATATATGTATATGTACACAACCCCAATCATATATATTAAATTTAAACTTCAAAAAATTTTTCAACAATACAATTCACAGTCATATACATATCTTTGAAAGCAACTTCTATATTCTTAAAACTAATAAAAACTACAATTAAATAAAAACAAGCAACATCTTAAAATATATACACAAACACAAAATTGAAATTATATCCATTTTATATTTTATACATTTACCATATCTTTCAACAGCACAGATCCACTGGCATAAGATTTAGGAAATTCTTGTAGTCTTTTATAGATTGACATGAAAGTTATCAACAAAATGAAGTATATGCAAATTTAAAAAGCTAACACCTGCGACGGATTTGTGCAGTCGCCTATTGTCATTCTATGCATTGCCATTTCTGTAATACCGTGATAATGTACAAAAGCCGCAGCAATTACTAGTACATGGAAGATTTGATGACTCTGAAACTAAATTTGAAATGTAATATATATATATATATATATATATATATATATATATATATAATTAATTAGTTTGAACAATATATATATATATATATATATATATATATATATATATTGTTCAAACTAATTAAGTTTTCTTTGTAGAAATTCATATTGATTTTTTAATAAAGCTTACCCAAATATCAAATTTTCCTGGGAAAAAACGTTCAGGTACTCTTAAAGCATAGAATAATGCACCTAATATATACAAACAGCCCATTAATATTAACCATCCAAGGGATGCTTGGCTAATTGCCTTGAACCAACCTTCAGCAACGGAATAATGTACTGCTGGTATTACCTAAATATAATGATAATAGATATATTTAAAATATTTATTCTAAAGTGAGAGAAAAGCTGTATTCTGTAAAATAGTTGGAAATAACTTACCCCACTAAGCCCAAATCCCATAAAAACTCCAGCTCTGAGTGGACGATAATTTGGTTCGCCAAACCGTCCCCACAATGATACTACAATGCTAGTTATACCAAGGACAACCGTCACAGATAAATAAATTAGTTTAGGTTGGTAATCACAATAAAATCCATAATAAAGCCATGGTACAAAACTACCCATAATAAGCATAGCTATCCCACAATAATCTAATTTTGAAAATAGCTTTCCAACACATTCGCTGTGGCAATGAACTGTGTGAAAGGCAAATGACATTCCTAGACAAATTATAGCACCAGCAAAGAAGGTACCAAATACCAATTTTTCTTCTAATTGAATTTCTATAGGAGGTTGTGTTAGAAAAAATATAGCTATACCAATAAAGGCAACACAGCCTGTAAAGAATCAAATATATTATGAGCAAAATTTATAATCAAAAGTTATATAGAATATGTTTAAAAGAATATGCTACATATATGCTATTTTCCAGAAAGTGCACATTGATATGTATATATCGAGTGTTATTTATTACATATACAATGTTAAAAAGACATACCTAATAAATGTGTCCAAATATTACCAGTTTCTGTATGAATTCGAAAAATACTTTTAAAACACGCATAAAACGAAGGTAGTGGTGGCCTATGGCCAGCATGTAAGAAATCATTATCTTGCAACCATCTTGGCAAATTTCTAAAATGACATTGTTTCCATGACGCTTCCCATACCTATAAAAGTTCAAATTTAACTTGCTAGGAATATTAATTACAATTTCTAGATTAATTCAAACTGTTATAGCTAGCTTTTTGCAATTGTACAGTGAGAAGAATATTTATTATTCTTATTACAATGATGCTACTAAATATTAGCCTATTACCTTTCGAACAAATTCTTCTGCCTGTTCTGCTGCATTATGAGCTAATGCACCTAGATCAATTTCATCACTTAATACACCTGCTTTCAATACTTCGGTCATCTATAATTTAAACAATAAATATTTATTAACAGTTAGTTGCATTTGTGTTTCTCGCAAGATAACAATAAATATACCTCACAATCCAGGAGATGATCATCTTCTGGAGTTGAAGGCAAGGGACATCCGACTCCATCTTCTTCTTCTGCCAAACAACTTGCATCATCGTCATCTAATAATTCTTTAACTTCATGTAAACCAGGTATTTCACTAGCTAGCAATACACGATCGCTCCAAGGAATACGATGTCGTATTCCTAAGTCTCCTGCCAAACATTCCTCCTTTTCTTTGGCCTCCAGAATGACGTCCTCGTATTGCGACATGATTCAGGATATAATTGACTGCAACTCTACGAATGTTTGTTGTTTTATATAAGAGAAAATAATACAAGTTACATAATAGATTTCTATTGAAATCTGTATCTATAAATTCATATTTGAATCCGTATAAAAAAAATCTTGATCTAAATACTTCATATATTACAAATATCTTGCAACATATCAAAATGTTTTATAATTTTCTGTAGATAAAAATCTATATTAAAAATTATATTTCTTCTAATATAAAATTTCTGTTATTTATGAATTTATGTGAAAAGATGTGTAAAACAATTTTTTCTAATAAAGAAATAAATATCAAGCAAAATATGGTAAGAAGAAAACAAAGAGGTTAACATAAAGCTTAGTGAATCGTAAAGACGAGTTTAAAATACAGATTAATTGTGAATTATTAGAACAAATGCATCTACAAATATTTAGCACCTGCTGTCTAAATCGAGATATTATTTTCGTTCATCTCAAACATACCACCCTCGCGTTACAAGTATAATTTTTATAAAGATGTTCTGATTTTTTCAGTACATATACTACATGTATATAAAGACCGTGGCTTATTATATAAGCCGTAATAAATATGTTTAATAGCTGTGCGTCATGTTGACTAATCAGTTTAGAAAAAAATTTTTTTTTTATCAAAGATAATTTTATTTTATTGTTAGCGTTTTGGATTCTACGTAATTTAATTTCTTGCTATAAATGCGATCATGAAAAGTGTTATGGAAGGTTAAAAAAAAAACACCACAGATATGAACAAACACTTAAAAAATATACAGCTAATAAAATATTACGCGAGCAACGTGTTTAAAAATATTTCAGGACTTACAAGTCGCACGATTTCTATGCCGTGATGTTCACATTTGCACGGACACACCTCGGAAAATTTTAGGCTGTAAAAATGTTAGGATGATTTAAAAAAAAAAAATTACGTTTCTCGGTTCGTTGTCAACGTTTACACCGTTAATTTAAAAATGCTAATGAAACACCACGCAGTAACAGCAACGCGTGGCAAGTGGCAAGAAGCGAGTAGCGACATAATCCACCAGATAACCAATGAACTCCTGACACACACATCCGCACACAAAGCACACGCATACGCGAGTGCAGAATATATACAACAAAGAGAAGCCTGGGACGATTACGGTTAGATGGCGACTATGTCATTTTTGTGACGTCATTCGACATCCTTTCAATTATTATTATTATTATTTATTTATTCCGATTATTATTATTTTTATTACCATTATAAATGTTATCCCTATTATTAAAAGTCAGGGTAAAGGAGATATTTAATTGTACCTTTAATTTTATGTATTAGAATAATATTGTAATTTCGTGTAATTTCGTATAAAATGAAGTATAAGAATAACTTGTAAATGTATAGGGTAATAGCTGGATGGATAATCCCCAGGCTTTCTTTTCTATTCTAAATTTAAAAAAAAAATCATTCGACATTATTGTAATTTGAGAAAAAATGAGTGAGAAAAATTTGAATTATATTGATAAAAATGTAAGAAAAAAGAATTCACAGATTGAGGAACTTGTAAATATTGTGTTTAAATATTTTTAATATTGTATATAATATTTTTTAGCAATATTTTTTTCTTTTTGTATCTTTTATCTTTAAAAAATTTAATGTTAAAGAATTTGTTAATATTATTTAGATAATTACTAGTTGTAATTACTAGTTAGGTAATTATTTGTTGGTTTTTATTTAGATAATTACTTAATTAGTATTATTTAGATAATTATTTAATTAGTATTATTTACTAAATATTAATATATAATATCACTTATAAGAAAACATATTTTTTATCGTTTTGTTATTAATATGTCCCACATCTATGCTCAAAAGACATTCAGAGGACATCCGGAAGATGTTCAATCGCTCAAAAATATTTTTGGGATACCTTCTATGTTCCAGGTAGCACATTTTCATTTCAAAAACATTTCGCAAATGTTTCTTCAAAGCGTTCCATAACCGACTGTTGAAAACGTTTCTGATTGATTGAAATGTCCACTTGGAAAACGTTAAAAGATACATTTATTTTCTGATAAAAAATGTTTAAAATACGTTTTTTTGTTAAAAATATGTTTAAAAATGTTTAAAATACGTTAAACGTTTTTTTTTACGTTAAACGTTTGTTATACGTTCGTTATATGTTTAAAATACGTTTTCTTTAACGTTAAACATTTTTTCTCATGGAATTAATAAAAAATGGATTCATATACACACTCTTTAAAAGTGAATCAATATATTATCAGTGAAAATCAGTAAATAATAGAGTCACGGATACAGTAGTTACAAGTTATTATAACACTGTAAATCAATAATATTTCACTGAAAGAATTAGTAATTTTGACTGTTTCAGTAATATTAGATTATAATTTATCTACCTCATATAAAATTAAAAATTTTATTTATATTTACATGCATATTGAACGTGCATCTTAAATGATCTTAGATGATGATTTATTTTATTTAAATAGATAATGAACTGATCATTTTCGTTTATTGGCTAGACATTTACTTGTCCGACATATAAAATCGATTTAATATCTGAAGCTTCTCTATTAAGATTGTATCAGAAATTAAATCGAAGTAATACTTTTAATTTTAACTTTCGCCCTTTGTACTTTATATAATTCTTATGACTAAAAAATTTAAATACGAAAAAAATAGTGTAGCGATAAATGCGAACGAACTAGCAATTACTGATTTTACAGTGCAATTTTACTTCCACTATAATTAGAGAGATATAAGATAAAGTAACAAAAAATAAGCGTTTCTATTGAAGATCAATACTGATTCTTAGTGATTCTTAGTAATCTTATTCATATATTTGTAAATAGAAATTAATATAGTTTTCGTAATAATTATATGTATATATATATATTTTTTTTATTTATGTATATTTATGTATGTATATGTGTATATATAATTTGAAATTAATTTGACATTAATTAAAAATTAATTTTTATTTTGTCTATAGAAACGTGAAAAATACGTTTCCTTAACTATGGTTTTAAAAACATTTTTTTAGAAACGCTTCTTATTAATTTTACGGTTAAAAAACATTGGATACGTTTAAGAAACGTATATAAAACGAACGTGTGTTACATTTAAGTGTGGGACATTTAAGAAAAAAGGCCAGGATGATTTGATGACATTCTCAGGCTTTTCTTTCTGAAAGAACTCTACTATGTATGTACATACAGGATATGAGAATGAATGTATATGAATGTACGGATTCCATATCGAAACATGTTCTAATTATAAGAATAGATAGGTTCTATGCTTATATACATACAATGCTTTAGAAAACAGGTAAAAAAGGACAGAAAATAAGATGTAAAAAGAGGAAAATAAAAAGAATGAGTTGTCTTTCTTTTTTTTCCGGTAAAGTCTTTTGTTCAAGAAAAACGGAATTTTTTTCTAGTTCATTTTCTCCATTTTTTAATTACATTAATTGGTCTATATGTTTGCTCGTGCTTCTCTATAATAGAAAATATAGTTTTCCAAATCTAATTTATATCGTTATTTCTAATAAACTAATGAGATTTTATATCTCCAAAAATATCTCATTATTTAAAGTTTAATTTAATAGTAAAATATTTCAGTAATTTAATTAAAGCAAGAAAATATACAAAATATATTACAATAAGAAAATAATAAATAAATACTTTTTGTTTTTTTGCATATTTTAGTTATCTATGCATTAATTTTTCACAATTAATCTGCGACTAGTTTTTTTTAAGAATTTTAAAATCAAAACAAATTATAATCTTTTGTTTCATTCAAGCATAGAATTTTCTTTCAAATATTTTTCAATAACAGTTTTATCTTTTCTTTATAGTACTACATGAAAGATTGTAACACAAATTTGTATTTAATAAAGAAAAATATTTCGATAATAAATGTTTATTTAATATATAAAAAGGGAAAAATTGTTTAAAGTACAAGATTGAAAGATGAATAAATTCATATAACATTTGTTTGACAATTCGCTTCATTTTCGACTTTTCTTTAATCGTTTATAGCAGCAATAATAACATGATGCAGTTTTCAGTATTCAATTTTAACTTTATCGAAAATTAGTTTAATTAAATCCGTACAAAATAATGTAACAAAATAAGTTTATTTATTAGTTAAAATACTTCTTACAATAAAGATTTGAAACTTTTTAATTATTATGTACAAAATTTTGCAAAAATGATGATAAAAAATGACATATATATCATAAAAATGTATATATATATATGTATATATATGTATATATATGTCAAGACTATAAAAATATCTGTATAATACTATCATAAATATTATTATAAAGTAATATTCATTGAAATAAAGAAATAAGATTTTCAAAGAACTCTTATTATTTTAGATGTTTTATTATTTAAAGATTTTTATTATTTTTAAAACAGCTGGAGATTTCTAAAACGGCTTTATAACAATTGTTATTTTATAGAAATTGAAAAAAAACGGATTTTATTATATACTTTATAAATATAGTTTCATACTTTTCAATAATAACCTATCTTTTATCAATCAAGGATTTAACAAAGCATCTCTATTAAAATCTCTTTACGTAAAATATAAATTGATATATAAAATGGTGTAATAATAACAAGAAATCTATCATTTGTCATATGTTTTCATTTATTTACATGTAATTCTTTTCTACGTTTTGATTTAAAATTAAATAAACATATTTCTGACTTGGTATACATACATTCACGCAGCAGAGATATACAACCATACATATTTTGTTATATTCTACATACATATTATCATATACATATATTATTTAATGTGTGACAAAGAATTTTATTAAGAAAAAAATAAATAAAAGGCCATCGTAATAAAAATTAAAGTACATGCACGCACAAATCGAAACAAATCTTATTCGAGACTAATCTTTAATCGAAGACTCGAAAGTCTTTAAGGCCATTTTCTTGAATAATCCAATATAAATTTATATGTCAATCTTTAATCTACATTTTGTTCAATAAGAATCAAAGTTAAAAACTTCATCTTTGATAATCGTTTAATATTCGCGATAAAATGTATTCGCTGTTAATATTGAATACTTTTAATATTGAAGTTTACTTTCTGCCTACATTAACATTTATACATTAAACATTTCATATAATTATTAATCTTCTCGCCTATAACTTTTGTTTAGCACCATTATTTTATAACAAGATTATGATTATTATCATAAAGTAAAAATAGTTTGCGCATTATCTATGATTTGCAAATTTTTGTCATAAAATAATAACTCTGTAACAATTTTTAATATTTCTATAGAATAGATATGTGCCGGACGATAGATCAATAGTTCTCCAAAATTTCGATTTCTACAAAAATTGACATGTACGATTATATGAACGTTATTAAATACTCTTTACAATTATGTATTTCGAATAGTGCTAAATGCTTTAATTATTTAGTAGTGTAAATAATAAATATACAAAAATTAAAAATTGTGTGACAATTAAAGAATATGCGTTCTCTATTATTCGTCTTGCTTTGAAGAAACGGATTTTTCATGTTATTTTAGTTATGTTTTATTAAGTTGAAAGCATGGTATCGTAAAAATGTCACACACAGTCTTCAAATCAAACACAAAAAGCGTTATAATTTTGCTGAATTGGGATTTCGAAATCGTTTGACACGCGGAAATGATTCGTTTATTTACGAAATTAAAGACGATTGGTATAAAATCGTTATTCGTGATGCAAATAGCACCGGAAATTACATCACTTACTTTGAATTCTTCTGTAATAATAGATAAATTCACAATTTCACGTTGCTTTGGAGCATTTAAATGGTTTATGTAATCGTTGACGGCATCGATATCGAGCGTCGGAAATAAGTCTAAGCAATCTAAGGCAATCGGTTTTTGCATTCTAATGACAAGTCGGCTACTTTCGCTCTCTCGTAATCTTCGTTCTTTTTTGATTATTTGCCGAAGATCGCGGCTTTTTGCCGGAACTGCTCTCGCCTCGCCGCTTTTTCCTCCTCCTCTCGTTTTCGCTCCTCTTGCTCCATGCGAATCTCATCCTCAAACTTCGAAGCCTTTCGCAACTGCTCGATCTGCGAAAAAAAGCGTTACTTGGAAGTCACGTGCGAAGTACAAGTTGTTCGGCTTACGCTTTCGCGCATGCATTTTTTCAGCGCGGGCGACACGCTGAAGTAACTATCTAGGCCTGCCCCATGTGTCATTTACAATCACATATATGAATAGGAAATGCATGTGTTACGTCCGCAATAACGGGATAAGATTTGAAGCTCTAGTATTGTCAAGTTAAATGATTTGTAAAAGTAGATGACAATTTTTTGCAATATAATAAAGAACGTTACACAATTAATATTAAATATGTAATATATATAAAACACAATTTGATTCAATTATATAAGCAATAAATATTTTCAAAAAAAAAAAAAACAGATTTTAAAATCCGAAATCTATTAAATATAAAAAATTTATATTTAGATATATATATTTAAAAAATTGTTTATAAATATAAAAGAGAGCGGGAAATCTTTTTCCACTTTAGAGAAGATATAATAAGGAAATTTACTTTGGCTTCGAAGAAGTTTTTAGCTCCGGTAACACCAACTTCATCGACGTCCACTTCAGTGAGTCTGGCTAGCTGGCTCAATCCGGAATCTTGTTCCAGCTCACCGGCACGTGCCTTACGATAGATCAGTAAAAACTGTAACGACATGTAACCGTATATTGTAAACGAAGAAAAGTTATGATATGAAAGAGATTTTAAAAGATTAAAAAATCTTAAAATTTTTTTAAAGGAGATTAGAAATTAAATTTTAAAGAAGATTAGAAATTAATTTTTCAGCTGTTTCTCTTAAAAACAGAATTATTATCTCGATCCGAAAATCCACATTACTATACTTGAGATATATATTTTGCATAAAATATATAAATTTTTTATCTTACAATTGTAAGAGTAATAAATAAAGTAAGAGCTGTATTAATTCTGTTTAATTATTTTCTCTGTCATTAGTGTATTAAGTAGGAAATAAAAAACAAAAAATAAAAGGCAGAAGAATAATCTGTTAAAAATCATAAAGAAATACATATGATTGAAGAAATTTGAAAACTGCAACGTTTAATGAATGTAACACTCGACGAAGAGGAGGGGGACACGTGAGCGTTTTACGGTAATTCATACTGCGATGAGTAAGAGAGGAAGGTGAATAAGCTGAGCAAACTACTTGGCTATCACGCAATGAATCACGGTCGACAAGCGGGACGAATCATGCGTGCACGCATCGCGTATGCGGATCGATTCGCATGCGGCGGGCTTTGTTTGCGAAATACGGTATATCACGTCTGATTGTGCGATGTCTTTGCTCACGTATCTTGCATCTCGTATTAAGTCGAGGCACTCTCCTTGGAATGGTACGTGATACTCATACGTTGCGGTTTTTTTTTTCGCAGTTTTACACGCGAATTGCGTTAAGAGGGAAAGTTTCGCACGCTCTGGTATCCCGCGGACGCGTTGCATCGTTCTGCATAATTGATTCGTTACCAGGCTGGCGATTGCAAGGTTAATCTCCTCTCGATAATTTCACATGTACTTGATCGTTTAAGAAAACTGGAATATTAGAAATTCGGTACATTCGCGAGGTATTAATAATTATTTTTTATATATATTTGCATATATTTGCATATATTTGCTTGTTTTTCCATAGAAAATGCTATTTAAGCTAATAGCTAAAAAGTAAGAAACTTATAATAAGTATAATAAATATTAATATAATTATAATAAATATAAAAGTATAAGTAAATATTAATATAATATTAATAAAATATAATAAATATAATAATATGATATAAGAATATTAATAAATGTAATATTAATAAAGTATAATAAATATAATAATATGATATAAGAATATTAATAAATGTAATATTAATAAAGTATAATAAATATAATAATATAAGAATATTAATAAGAGAAGATATAAGAATATTAATAAATATAAAATATTAAAAAAAATATATAATAATGGCTTTAAAATTAGACGTATAATAATTTTTATATGGCTTAATTCTCTCTTTCCTATGTAAATATATATTTTGTAGAATATGTAGCAATGAATGTTGTGAACCTTATTGGAATTACGGTTATTGTGCAAAGTTTGCTTTTAATGAGAAAATTTTAGTTTCTCAACAGATTTTTTTATAGCGGACAGTCTTATTTGGTAGTGGTTAAAATACTCCATCGTGCAAACATTCGGTTGCTCCATAAGCAACCGAAATAGAACATGCCCTCTCTAACGCATGCCTGGAGAATAAACACGATCGTCGAATACTCAGTAAGTGAGTCTAACCATTGCATGGGGTCTAGTATTTATACGAAAAATATATCATATAATGCCCTTTTATTATAAATAAATCTACGAATCCAATCAGAATTTTTTATCATTTAATATTCTATAATAAAAACGATAAAAATTTCACAAAAATTTAAATTTAAATTTAAATCAAAATTTAAAACTTCATCTTTCCAAGTACAATATTTTCTCTTATTAAATGATGTATAAATTTTAAAAGAAAAAAAGAGAAATTCTAAAAAATAAAATAAATTTTCGAAAATTGGTGAATATTATTAAAAGTAAAATATATTTCCTTTTAATTGTCACTCTTTCTGGAATAGCATGCAAAGTACACGTGTGGTTTTTGATGGATAACATAAGAGCAAAGCTGGACGCAGTAAAGTCTATTTCAGTTCAATACTTTTAACGACCGCAAACAGAGTTGCGAGAAGCATTAATGTTGATCAGAATGATCATAGAGACCATAGGTTTATACCGACCATGTTTACATTGACCACATTCAAAGCCGATAGCGCAAAGTGTGCTAATCAATGCAGTACATTTTCAACCCATTTGTCTGCGGCATTTCGTTTTAATAATAAAACGCAGTCGCTTAACGTTATTGCCCAACAATAATGGATTTGAAGAATCTCTAATAAACTGTGTAAAATAATTTTAAAATAATTTATAAAAAATAATAGATATTTATATACTTGTGTGTATGTAAATAATTAAATAATTAATTCCAATTTATTAATTCCAATTTATTAATTTATTATACGAAAATTGTTATCATATATCAACTTATTTGACCTCTTGAAATATAATTATTGCAAAGTAAAGTAAAAAATAAAATAAAATATAATATTAAATAAATAAAATATCATAAATAAATATCATATTAAATATCATATAAATAAAATGTCATATTAAATAAAAAAATATTAAATATATTAATAATTAAATTTTACATTAACACAGTTTTTTATAAAAATGTTTTCTATTTTTCAAAACAAGTAAAATATGTTTTATTTAATCGCGATGGCTTATTTATACTGTTTATTTATCTGGGACTTCTAAGAGGTTCATAAAAATAAACCAACCTCACGGAAAGATATACGGCCGTCGCCATCCTCGTCGACCTCCTGGATCATTGCCTTGAGTCCGAGATGCGTTTGCGGTGCACCTAAAACTTCCATCATTCGCTTCAATTCGGAGAGATCGAGATAGCCATCATGTCCATCGTCGAATCTGTAACAAGTATTCGACGATTAAAATCAGATTAATGTCTACAAATCAGAAATTTTATTACATAATTTTTTATTTAAAGGAAATATCATCTTTTTTATTTGTGAATGAACTTTTAATAAAGTTACGTAACTAATAAATCAAAAGTATTTTGATTCTAAAATTAGATTGAGAAAACATATTTTTCTCTTCATTCACACTTTCAAAGCAGTTTTATTTCAACGGAACATTTTTTAAATTCCAGACATAGAATTGTCAAAGTTTGTATCTGCGAAAATATTACTTGATAAGAAAACTATCGATCAACTATCGCCAATGTCGTAAGATACTTAATGCGGTTAAGGCTAATCTATTATGCTGACTGGTGAATTTTATTACTGACCTCCTTTCTCTGCTTAAAATAGAGTGCATTTTTAAGCGATTGACCCGTCAATAAATCATTGTGATGACGCTGGTCAATGAGACGCCTAGCTAAACGTGTCATACATATTGTAGTCTGTCGCCTCTAGTTAATCGCGATACCGCGTGCAATCTAATTGCTAGTCATTAAATGCCGTTGCACGAAGTTTATAGGAGGAAGAAAAGAATTCGGGACACTATCATTATTGACGAACGAGGCATGATTATCAAACTAATTCGTCGAAAAACGCGGTTTAGTCGCTATAAAAATTCCTCTCCATTTCGTGAAATTAAAAAAAAATGTTATAATGAGATAGGAAATAGTACAAGTTCCTTAACGAAATTCGTTGCGTCATTATTAATGATTTTATGAAGTAAATAGTGAAGATGCTCACTGTAATATTGATTATTCGCACTTTCCAGATTCGGCAGAAAGAATTGTTGACGCAAATAGTACGATCAATATTTGTTAAAATTGAATTAATTATTACGTTAAAATTTTAATAATGATATATATTATAAACTTAATAATGATATATATTTAACTTTAACATAGACTGTAAAAAATGATATAATGAGAAAAGCTGGAGGAAAATTTAACAAAATAATGCAATAATCAAATAATGACATTGAAGCGTTTAATTTTAGACATTCAATAAAATTCCAAATGTAAACGTTCCAGAGATGTCACGTCTATGCAAATATCTTTTACTTTTCATATGAGACTATAATTATTATATATTATAAAAATTGATATTGTCTTTTTTCTACATAAAAAAAATCTCAAAAATGTAATCTAAAGGAATAAATTAATTTAATATTTATAAGTGAAAAATTTAAAATTAATTTAATATTTATAAGTAAAAAATTTGAAATTAATTTAATATTTATAAGCAACGATTTTAATCGAAGAAGATGATTAGATTTTCTTCGATTAAGCAAGGATCAACGGTTAAATGACAATTGTTCTTCGTAATTCTAATAGTAATCGAGATTGTCTTAACTCGGTCGTCATTAACATTCGCGACTTTCTTCACATTTATTACGAAGCCAACGTCTCTCTCGTTGGCCGCAATGTACAAGGTAAAACATTTAATAACTAGAACGTCTCTCTCATAGAAAGCGCACGAAATAGGCTGAGCAAGATATTTATCTGTGGAAAAAAATTGCATTTTTTATTCTTCGCAAGTTTAATCCAGATTTGGCTGAAAGACCTGTCAAAGTTGATTCGTCGAGCTATTTCATACGTTTCATAGCTGAGACTCATGCAAACTTATGTATGCAAGAATCGTATCGCAAAAACTTCGGTCCAGAATAATCGTACGTTGCAATGAGGGCAAACACAGTTGTTCGAATTTTATTACCCTTTGTATCGCATGCGCCGTCGTTGCAAATTGCAAAAAGCGGAAATGATTTATTCCGATGACACTTATGACGTCAAACAATCATCGAAAATAACTGCCTAACTGCTTGACATTATTAATTTCGCCCTCTTGCCGCGCGTGGAAAAATGTGGGCGTACGTGAGCTAAAGGTTAACTAGATCGCGTTCACGCCTGTGTTAGAAACAATCAGCCGCGCAATTTTATATGCACAATTCTCGTGGTAATATTCCTCCATTTCACGAAATATTCGACCGAATGTATCGTGGGATGAAATCAATTCGATTGAAATTGTCAAATTAATAAACATGAGACCTGATATGCGACTTATATTTACATCACATTTTAACATTATTAGGTAATTATTAAAATATTTTAGCCCCAAGCATAAAATTTATTAATACAGAAATATATCTTTAATTTAATTAATATTATTATTTAAATATTAGTTATTTATATTAATTAATTTATATTATTAAATATTTATTGTTAAATATTTAATGATAATTAATATAGAATATTTAATATTTTCTAAAATAAAGTAAAATTATAAAATATTTACTTTGTATGCGAATTTCGCAGAATGTTTAAAAATATAACTGTTTCGCGAAATATTGGTAAAAGAGCAATGATGAACGTAAATAGAGCGGAAGAATTCATGTCTATATCGCTACATCAATCTTTATTTTTTAATTATCGGGGAAGAATTTAGACACGCCGAAAGTGAAAACGGAGGGAAAACGTGGGAATGATTCACGATATTCAGATTCGCGAAATTTCTCGACAGGATATCAACTTTACTTTGCCGGAAACTTGTGTAATCACTTTCCGTGTAAGGGATGGAAAGTGCCAGGGCATGGGATGAGCGAGCTTTCCAACATGTTGTTGTGATTTCGTCAAGTGGATAAAATTGAGTTTTGTATCCGTTAGTTTGTTCTATCGAGATACCTAAGAGAATCATTATATAATAATTTAAACAAATAATTTATTCGTATAGTTATATATATCTAATTTCAATTAGCTTGAATATATCTTTTGAAAATTGTATGTGCAAAGTAATTATATATGCAAAGAATATTTTATAACAATTTTCAAAAATTTCATATATACCATATAAAATTTCATATTTTCAAGCTAATTAAAATCAGATATTTATAAATTAAATCGAAATTGGCAAATAAGAGTCATAGCGTGATAATTAAAGCGCAGGGAAAAAATAACTCTTCCTTCTTTCTAATTATCTTGTTTATTTCAAGCGTCAGAAATTTATAATTATAGGAATAAATTATTTTTAGTTTATTATAAAAATAGATTTTTTCAGTTTTTTCAGTTATTTTTAGTTATTATAAAAATAGATTTTTTCTCTTATCATACATCGCGAAATGACATATGTTATATAACAGATATATATTATCATTGACATAATTATATCGCAAATTAAAAATCACTTGCATAATAAATTGATCTTTTTAATAACCGTGATTGAGCTTTGATTAAAATCAATACTTTTTTAAAAGGAAAAATAAGAAGCTTTAAGTTTTAAAATTTATCGTAGAATATAATTATCAAAGTTCAAGTTTCATTAATGCGCATTTAGATCGATGATTATTTATATCTCGCCGTAGCTATCATGATTTTATCTGTCTAAACATGTGTGTACTTTGGCCGTAATCTTAATTAAGCAAGAGACTAGAAAATCGTCATTTTCGATCCAAGATCGTTAAAGTGTAGAAGAGCAGAACGTTAAAGAACGAATTGCTTCCGCATTAGTTAATGACGTTACTGCGAAGCACCGGAAATTGAAGCGGGGAAATTGTAGGAGGGAAAATACCTGGGCGGTGGAAACTTCTCAATCAGGAAGAATTGTTCTGAAAGGATCAATATTTGCCTGAATCTCGCTGTATTTAGTAACCAAACGCGAGCAAAAATCTTTTATGTTCTTTAATCCTACGAATATATATTTCTCGTATTTGCGCAGAGAACGTAATTTTTGTTTCAAAAAATATAGCAATGTAACACACGTGATTTCAAAATTATTTCATATTTTTTTATAATTTCATATTTTTATATTTCATATTTTTTTATAATTTCATATTTTTTTACCTTAAAAACTAATATATTGAAAAGCATTAAAATAAATAACAGTCAAAATATTTCTGCCTTTTCGTAACCATCAACGAAAATTAAATACTAATAATTATTGATGCATAAGAAAAAATATATGAAATAATAATATGATTAAAAAATTGTTTTTCAATTTTCCTATTTTTCTGCTAAATATCAATAGTTTTCTTTTTTCTCTTTTTCTTTCTTTCTTCTTCGAAGTTCACAGAAATTTCACGGAGAAAGAAGGGAGAATGTCAAAGGTCAAGATTACATATTTATAAATGGTTAAGAGAGGTGATAAATAAGAGTGATAAACATAAAAAAATAAAAACGATAGATATGTTTTGTTTTATACATGTTCTATTAAAATCAACATTTTTTTGTCAATAATATTTACCTTTCTATCTTACTTTTCTATCAATAAATTCTTTTTAATAATTTCAAATTATCTATTAATTACATAATGTCTCAAATCAATACTAATAAATAATGATTCATGAACATATTTTTATAAAAATAAGATTTATAAGTACTTTATGATTAAGAGTTTTTAAAGGAAAATTGAATGTATGTACGTGTTTTATTCGACTGAATATTTTCATTTTTATGTCGTTTTATGAATGATTCGATATCTGATTGATTATTGCAATCATGTTGCTATGAATCACCGTTTTGCTCGGAATTGCTTCTCGTCCGACAGTTTTAGCCGATTGAGTAAAACGCTTCAATCAAAGTGAATTGTGTTGAGGCGCCGATGCAGCGCGAGTATTAACGTATTAAATGGCATGGATTTGATTGGCTTTATGAAAACATTAATTAAAAATTATATATAACGTGTAAAAACATCATGATAAATAAAAACAAATTTATATTTATTGTTGAGGTAAAATTTTCTTTCAATTTTACGAAGTTAAATTATTATGACCTCAGGTTTAACAAATTATAATTCTAAAAAGAAAAAAACCTGTTTTTTAAATATTTATTATTTGGTAAACAAGCATATTCGATTTTTTTATGAATGCAAAATTTTTATTTTTGAAAAAATTTGTATTGTTCAGAAAAGTGGACAGACTGTTTTAAGTGTTTCCTGATAATTTTTTTTATAATTCATCTTATG